CCAACTCCCTGGCATTGTGGTGCCTGGAAGTACACGCAGCAGGCCCTTGGGTACACACGGGAGGTCCGTCTGAATTCCTAGCTTGCAGGTGGCAGGGCAGGCCATTTCCTTTCCCTGCACTTTATGACCTAAGGCTGCGAGAAGAGCAAGTGAAGAGCTGCAGCTTGCACAGACCACCAACGCTGCGTGCAGCAGACAGAGGCCTTACAGGTGCTTTCAGGACTGGACGTCCTGAGATTCAGTGTGCATGAAATGCGGCCCGTCGGTTTCCGGCTCTTTTCCGAAGACGAGAGGTGCAGGCTCCGGCCCAGGAAACCTGCGGTCCAAAGCACCATGGAAAAGCTTGAGACAGAGAAGTGAGGGGAGCACACACGTGGTCCCTCTCCAGCTGGTTGGGGATGATGGGTGCTATAGTCCAACCCACTGAGAGGGCAGTAGCCTGGAGAAGTCTTGCTTCCCTTTATGCAGGACCAAATTTCGGACCCCCAGCCTGGTTTGACAGTGCGGTGTCTGGATGGGTCCTAGTGCCTGCGGGAGTCTTTGTGCCCGGCCGAGGTTGCAAGCTTCCACACCTCCACCCGCCTTCCTGCGGCTGTGCCATTTTGCTGCCAGATCCTGACAGGGCAAACGAGCCCTCGCATTTCCGTGTGTGTTCCCAAGAATGTTAATGAGTAGCTTGTAGTGGAACCACAGTTTGCTTTGGTTTTCTTTGTCAGATGGGAATCCAAGCCATATTATGGTAAGCCATTTCCTGCCATCTATTTTTCGCAATACCAGTTTAACAGCGGGGGAGGGAAGGAGTCAGAAGAATTTTTTAAAGTTTTTGCTTGGATGGGCAAGCTCTGCTAATCAGACATCTAAGTGTACATAGTTTCTATCCGGAGCTTCCAAGGGATCAAAATACACCAGGAGTGCAGCAGAGATGGTGTGGAGGGGGAGGGGTTGTAGGGAACCAGGATCCAGAACGTCCGGGTTCTAGTCCCCCCTCAGCTGCACTGGGTGCCTTTGGGCCAGTCACTCCCTCTCAGGCTTGCTGCTGTGGGGATAAAATGGACTTATGTGCCTTACAAGAGGAAAAATTGAGAGATGCATAATGCAAGGTAATAAAAATAATAGGACATTACTCACCTGGGATGAGAATAAGCCTTCTGCTTGACCGGCTGAGAAAAGAATTCAGGCAGAGAGTCTGACCCACCTGGATTCTGGCAGCACCCCCCCCCCTTTCCTACATACCGTCCTCCCCTCTCCCAGGGATAAGACAGGGTCTTCTGAGTGGTGGCACCCCAAGAGGCCCACTGGAGCCTGCATTGCTCCCTTTGGGCTGCCACCAATGATCTTCTTTTCTCCCAGGTATTTTGGAGACTTTTAGTGCTGTAGTGAATCTGATTCTGGTAACTGTTCAGATTTTGGCCAGAGAACACTTGTTACTGGGATGCTTAAAACAGAACAGATGAGCAAATGAACCTGGGGAAGGTCACCGGAGAGACTCCAATGAAGGAGGGGTGTCCAGGCAGCCTGTTCTCACCCCAAGCAGTGAGTGGCACTAGGAAATCCCGCATCCTGCAGTCCCCGGGTATGAAATACCATTAGCTGACCCGAATCTCTCTCTTCTGATAGAAAGCTGGAATGCGAATCTTTTAAATGAACAGATTGTTACCCCGAAGTGGACAGAATTTCCAGGGGTTTGTCACGACACAGGCATGCGGCTCTGAAGAGCCCTTTCCGTCAAATCTTTTATTTGTGGAAAATACAAAACAGTTCTGTGGGCCGGATAAACAGCATATGCAGATCATCCTGTCAAGACAGCATAATCTCTTACGAGGTCATGGACGTGAGCTTGCGCCCCTTCCTTCATGTCGACATTTTCCAGCTGCTACCCAAGTCCAGCATTTGTCAATGTCTGTTGCAGCTTCATTCAAGGACAAAGGAAAACCACAGTCCCTGAATCTGCTTGCTTTCTAGCTGAGCGCTGCAGCATAATGCCAGAGAAACCGGAGAGCTGGATTTAAGCAACATGGCACCTTTGCAGGGAAAAAAGCAAGATCAAGCATGTGGGAAGCAAAAGGCAGATTCTTCTTTGCAGCAAGCGAGCCCCATTTTCCATGAGTTTTCATGGAAAAGCCCACTTCTTTTTGTTAAACGCACAGGCAAGGAAGCGCCAAGATGGCGAAATCCTTTACCAGCAGCCCCGCTTCTCTTCAAGGCTGGCCCGAGATGTTCCAGGGAACACTGAGCACCCTGCAGCCTTCTCAGCATGAGGCCACACCTGCCAGGTCTTCTCTCGGACAAGCCTCGCCGGAGGGGAGCTGTGCCCGGCCATGGCGATGAGGCCTGTGCGACAGACCTTCCCCAGCGTCAGGCCCTGTGCTCAGAGCTGCACTGGGACGGGGCAGGGATGGCGGTGCCCGTGCGGAATTTGCTCTTCTACCTGCAGGCCCCAAATGTCCAGGGCTGGCTTTGCTCATTTCATAAATATCCCTTCCCACCAAGCTGACGCTGTGATTAAAACCTTGCGTTGATTCTGAGTGACTAAGTTTTGTCCTGCGGGTTGTCAGTGGGCAAAACCAAAAGCAAACACGATGTTGTAGAATTTAAAATGGGTCAATCAGATGCAATTTTTCGGACATCCCCTCCTTCTAAGCAAGAATGGCCACTTTATATGGGGGGTGGTCTTTGCAGCATGACAGATCCCCCTGCGCCCACGATTCACTGCACTTTCTCATAGGATGGAGTTTCCCATTTACACAGTATAGAGATCAGGAAAGGATTAGGAAGCGAGAGCTGGACAATAGTGTCCTGAGAACCTCCACTTCCGTTGGCTGATAACGCAGGTTTCTAGCCCTTAGTTTTTGTGAAGATCTGCTTGAAATGGTGTGGCCCATGCCTGCCTGGAGCCAGATCAGTGGCTGGATACATCTTTCCGTGGTTGGGAGGGTGGCTTTAAAGTCCCACAGAACTTCTGGCCCTTCCCCATGGTTAGGAGAAGTGGAATACATCCTGGAGAAAAGGAAGCACTGAGGAATGTGTCCATCATTCCAGGAGAAGCCCACAATTTGCAATATTTATGCTGGAAGGCACCACATTTTAAGACTAAGCATTGCAGACTGGATTCACGATGACAGAAAAAGCCTGCAAATTGCAAAACTCTTGCAGAAAGACGCCGCCCTTCGTAGGCTTTTGAATGCGTCAGCCTGGACTCAGCAGCCTGGAGCTGTGAGGTCTCTTGCAAAAAGCAGCTGGACTCTGCCAGCACGCCAAAGGCTTGCAGATCGGTTCCTTGTTTGCCCAGCTCTGAATTCCTTCGGCATCAGAGAGGAGACAAAGACTTAGGAGCAACTGTTTGAGTCCTGGCATTTTCTTTTTTGTGTGTGGAAAGGAGAAGATTTGGAAATCCCCTTGGAGGCTGGAGACGCCTCAGCCTCATGAGAGGACGCCTCCATTTCCTTCCTCTTTGAAGGAAATCAGGCGGGCAGATACTCGGAGAAGGGTCTTTTCAGTGGTGGCACCCTGACTGGAATATGCTCCCCAGGGAGGTCTGCCTGGCACCGTCACTCTATTCCTTTTGGTGCCAGTATTTTAATAATTAACTGGTTTTATCCTTGTTTTTATTACTATTTTAGATGCGGGGTACTCTTTATTTTAAAGCGGTGTATTGTTATGGGTTCTGTTGTTTGGTTCTCTCTCTGTAAACTGCCCAGAGACATTTTTAGTAATGGGACGGCATACAAAAGCCTTACATACATACATACATACTGCACCAGGAGCCATTGCCTGGCCTTACAGCGCTGCTTGACCGCTGGTCTCCCCTCAGTTTGGGACTAGACTGCAGGTTTGGGACGGGACACAAATGGTCCCGTTTTGCACCTGTGCAGTCCAATCGCCCTCCTTCGAGCCACTGACCGAGTCCCTGGGCAACGGTCGCGCAGCATGAGCTGTGCGTGCCAAGCAGCAGGAGAGGTGATGAAAATCCTCTCCCCGGGACTGTAGCACTCTAAATGGCCCTGGAGGGGTGGGGGGACTGCATGGAAAGGGAACAAAATAGCCCCCTCTCCCAACCCTCAGAAAATCCCTCTGAAGGGGGAAGATTCCCCGTCTGCGGTTCTCTTTGCTCTGCTGAAGTGGAAGGAGGTGATGAGAAACAAGCCCACTTCTCTGGTTCGAGGAACAGCTTTGCAGCTCACCTCTGCACCTGAGTCGTACCAGAATTATTCCGCCTCCATCGTTAATATTTTGGGGGAAACAGTGACCGGGAAGAGGAGCCTGCGACGTGTGTGAGGTTTGGAGGGGGTGGGGGACTGCAGGCTGAGCTCCCTTCGTGGCATTCAGGATGACGGGAGGAAACTTGGGAAAACAGTCCCAATAATTATGATGATTCAGGGAACTGAGCCAAACCCTCTTTCTTAATTTTCGCATTTTCAGTCATGTCGCAGAGTGATTCGTACATGAGATTTACGCCACACTGGCAGAAAACCTTTGCAGTGCCTTCAAACGAACCGTCTCTGTCTCTCAGATTTTTGCTTTCTAGAATGCCTTCCTTTAGTTAGCGGTGCAAAGCGACTGAGGGCCGGAAAAATGCAATTTTAGTGTATTTTCCATCATGGCCCAGGAAAAGCAGCTTCTGATTTTCTTTGTGAAACTTGACAGTTTAAAAAAAGAAAGACAAAAGTGGTAACAGAGATGAGTCACTGGATCTCCTGGCTACCTCCTGTTTGTTGGGGTACCAACCCCGGCTCCATCTGGCAGCTCAGGCCACTGAAGATGCTACCTGGGACGGCACTGTATTGTATTTATTTGCATGTATTTATAGGCTGCCTATAATGGCCAAGGCCTTCCTAGGCGGCTTTTTTCACAGTGCTGCAGTCAGCCAGGTAGTTATGCGCCAGAATAGCACCTGTGGGATTATGAGGAATGGAGGGTTCACCCCTTGGATCACACAATACAGGGAAATATCCAGTTCTGGAAGTGCACAAATCTCATAGGAAAACCAGCCTTCATGAAAATGAGAGAGAAATGTCATGGAGTTTATTGTTCAGAACGTGTGTTTTGTATCTTCTAAGCAAGAGGTATATAAATGAAATGGCATTTTCCTTCAGAAACCTGCTACTGTGGACTTTTAAAAACAGATTCGTCTTTTTGGCAGGCAGGGGTTACTGAATTCCCCCAAAGGCCAACAATCCCAAATCCTCCGGGCCCGAATCACGAATCCCCCCAAACAATGCGGACAGGAGGCTGTCTGACGGTGTGCCAAAAAGCATATTTCTAGTGCAAACAGGTACCAAGAAAGGATTGCTCACTTTTAGGAGAGAACCAGCCCTACGGTGCGGCAAGGAACTGGCGCCCCCCTGGGAAGCCGACGTGTTCAGGTGTCTGGGTGGTTTCGCGAGGCTGCCATGGCCCCGGCCCCGGCCTCCAAGGGAGAGAAGGGCAGGGACCTAAAGGAAAGGACCCCGCACTTCCAGTTGCGTAGCTTATCTGTGACACGGACTTCTCCGTGCCGTTTTCCTATGTATTATAATGCCAAAGGTCCTTAACACAGGTCAAAGAGAATAATAAATAGAGCAGAACTTCAGGTTATGATGTAATACTGACTTTTTAACCCCTTTTGTAAAAAAAGCGAGGCCCTTTCTCTCCTGAGATACAGCAAACAAGGGTGGGAAGGGCAGCCGCTAACACTGTACCTCCGGTTGCTGACCACAACCCTGCAGCTGAAGGGCCGAGGAAGAGGAGCCGACCGGCCGCTTCTCCCCCGCCCCCCGAAGCCCGTTTTGGTAAGTGCTGGTCCGAGTTCCTCCCCGGAGCGTGCCCCCTCTGCTCCGTTTTTCTCAAGCAAACCCAGCAGAAGATGCTTAGCCTTCATCTTCCCGCAGTTCAGTCGGGAGAAATTTGTACTGCTGCTGGCGGATCTGGGCCAACTTCTTCCTCGCCTCCTCGAGCTCCCGCTCCTTCTTCAGCATCTCCTCCTGCGCTGCGATGATCTAGGAAAGGGACAACCGGTTCGGGCAGCACAACACAGGCGCGGAAGGGCAGCCCGAGACTGGCACTCTGCACCCAGGAGCAACCAGAGCACTCTGGATTCCCGTCGGCCTGCCAGGGTCGCCCCTGAACGCAGGGACCGGCCCTGTGCTGAGCCAGCCACTGGTCCAGCTGCCCCAGAATGGCTCCTCGGATTGGCAGCGGCTCCCACGAGAGCATTGGAGCGCTTTCCACCACCAGCCGCCTCCCGTCCTTGCAGCCAGAGGTGCTGAGGGCTGAATTCAGGCGGGTTCCCAGCAAGGACAGCAAGCCACTGGATGCAGGGGCCATCTTTCTGTTGCCAGGGGGCCAACACGCTTTCAGGGAAGCCCCGCTAGCTCCACATGGCAAAGCAAAGCAGAACAAAAAACAAACAACCCACCCCACCCTCCAGCCTATCTCCGCTTAAAGATCCTCCTGGCTAACACATTTCAGGCTTCAAAATGGGGATGTAGGATCAGTGCTTTTTTTGTCATAGAATGCACCGGAACAGAGTTCCGGCACCTTTTTTCAACAGATTTTCCCAAGTTTTAAAAGTAACTTTTGAAAATTTGATGTTTGGTCCACGTGGATTTGAATCGCCTTGTTGAGCGTAGCAGGTCGGCGGCAAAATCATTAAAATGGGGCTGCTTGTGTGTCGAGTCCACTGCATGCGCACCTCGTCCACCCTGGTTGTGATGGTGCTGCTCGGCTTGTGATTGGTCATGTGGTCATGCGCTGAGTGCTTACTGTGGGCAGTGACCATAATGTTTTGTTACACAACTGACGTGTGTGGGTGTGTGTACAGTGATTGACTATGTGTGAAAGGTAAATAATTTCATGAGTTCTGGCACCATTTTTCTTACAAAAAAAGCACTGTGTAAGATTATACACAAAAGCTGAGAAGCCACATGTGGATTGGCGGTCCATGGAAGCCTGAGGGGGCTTAGGTCTTATTCTTAGAAAGTGGCATGTTCAGACATTTATCTGAAATAGGTACATGCACACGTTTTATGGGGAAGTGGTGACACCGATCAGTTTGGCTCTATGTTTTATTCTGCTTGGCTGAAATTTTACAGTGCAGTTTTCTTTTTCATTAAAAGGAAGCGGAACGGCTGCAGATGAGCCTCCCGAGAGGCGAGGCAGAGAGCAGAGGATGCGAAAGGGAGCCACGTACCTGGGCGATGCCTCCCACGAACTTGGTCTTCACCACCACGTCGTCGTCGTCTGCTTTGCTGAACACGGCCTTCTGGGCGGCCCTGACCAGGTTGTCCGACGCACGCTTGACCGCGTTGCCTGCAGCCTGCCGAGGGGGCAAGCGGAGCGCTCAGGCCGTGGAGACCTGGGGCAGGCGTCGCTAGGCTGCCTCTCCCCCTGCGGAGCTGCGTCCCTCCCGGGGGCACCTTCCACACGCTTCCCCCGGGTGCCCCCCGGCAGGACCGAGGCCGGAGCCTACAGGAGGCCACCTCTGGGGAACCGGCCCCCCTCCAGGTCGAGCTTTGCAGCTATGAACACACCTTGCCCTGAACCTGGGGACCACCAGGTCCCCTCTCCACTTGGGGAACTGTGTGGAGGGCTTGCCCACAGTCTCATCAGAGTGACCTTTAAAAGCCGGCACGCTATGGATTCTTTAATGACTTTTCACACACAGATGCTTGTTTTAGCTTTCTCCAGCTGCTCCGCCATCACTGGCTTGCTTGCCGCAATGTCCCCCCCCCCCCCCCCCCACAACTTCCTTCAGTCTCTTCTCTTGTCATGCAACAGGATGGTCTGTGGCAGCTTATTCCGATGCCACCTTTGGGGCGAAGAACCCCCCCCACGGGCTCACACAAGCATTTGCACACAACGTTCAAGCGGTACCGTTCAATGTGACTTTAAGGCAGCAATTTCAGAAGGCCTATTGAAAATGGAAACGGCCAGCAACCAGCCAAAGGCCAAAGGCGCTGCACCATCTATCTCAAAGCAAGGAAAAAATGGGCAAAAACGTCACAGGAGAGGTGGTGTCTCCTCAGAGTCGTGGAAGGATTCTGGGGGCAGGGCAGACAAGATGGCAAAACTTGCTCGAATACCGGCTCCCCAAAGTGGTGCTCCCAATGCACATGTTTTTCAGCCTGAAATTCTCCCAAGGTGGATCGCAACAAACATGGACCATTAAATTACTATGCTGACTCCAAAACCACAAATTGCGAACGTCAGAACATTCAGAAACAACTGACAACAGACACAGCAGTAAATAAAACACCGAGAATACAGTTCAGGTCAGGGTAACGGCTCATTTGAAAGCCACTGTGGCTATGATAAACCCACTCAGTTAAAACAGACCGGTCTTTAAAGACCTTTTGAGGCCAAGACTACCTGAGGCACCCCTCAATCTCCTGGAAGGGTGTTCCACAGATTGAGAGCCACCACTGAGAAGATACCACCACAGGGCCACCACTCTCGCAGATCTTTAGCCATGGGCCAGCGAACGGAGCCGCCAATGTGGCTCTCGGGGCTTGTTAAGGTTCTGTGTGTGCCAACAAGCTTTAGCGGAGCCAGCCTTTAAACTTGCGCCTGGACTTAAACTGCAGTGCCCAAAAAGTGGCAGGAAAAGGGGAGAGGTTGCCCCAGCTGGGCTTTGACTGGATGCCCACATCTGTGCTATGGCGGACCAAACAGGCCTGCCTTGCCCAGCCGGGGGGCTTGCTTTGAAATGCAGCTCAGAATTGCAGCACTGTGGGGAAACGAGCACAGGTGCAAAGCGCTTCGTGGGCGCCTGCTGTTCTCGGCTGCTTGGAGCACCCTCCTCCAGCCCCCCCGCACCCCCTCCCCCTCCCCCGCACGGCTGCCGGCCCAGCACTCTCACCTGCAGCCTCCTCATGGCCTCGGAGTCGTGGTCGGCCTTCACCTTGCAAGCCACCAGCAGCTGTGCCGTGGACGCCGCCACGTGCTTGGCCGAGGAGATCAGCTTCTCCTCGCTGGCGTGGCCCTGCACGGAAGCGTTGGCCGCTTCGCAGAGGCTGCTGGTGGCAGCTGCCACCATCCTGGCCTGGAAGGGGCGACAACGGAGCCTCAGGCTGTGCGAGGGGCAAGGCGGCCGGGCCCCCTTCCGGGCATGGCGAGAGCCAGAGCGCTGCTCTTGTTGCCAGGCTGGGCAGCAGCGGCGTCCGGCACACGGGATATGCACAGGGGCCTTCGGGGGGGGGGGGCTTCTCCTTAGTGCACCCCGTCGAAGCTGCAGCAGCGGTGCTAGAAAGGGCAAAACGGGCCTCTGTCCCGGCCTTCTGCTGCCCACGACCTCACAGCCAGGCCGCCTCCTGCCCCAGACTCTCTCCAGGGTCTTCTCAAGTGGGCTTACTCCAGGGCCCCCAGTGGGGGAGGCCCCAGCCCACGCTAGGAGGGCCCCTTCCCCGCCAGATTGCAGTCCCCATCCTCATTCAGAGGCAAAGAATCCGAGAGTGACTCCCTCTCCCAGCAGAGGAGAGCAGCCGCAGCTGGTCTGTTGAGTGGAGCAAAGCAGCTGCCTGCACCCTGCGAGAACTGTGGGGCCACCGCGGTGAGCCCCTGCCCTTCCAGGGCGCCCTGCATCACCGCCGGCTGCCTGCAAGGGAGGGGGGAGAAAGCGGGAGTGACTCACGGCAGAAATGAGCCCCTGCGACCACTGTCCATCATCGGCGGCGTTGGCGGGGATGGCTCCAACCTGGAAAGAATCGGAGTGGAGGAATGGCATGCCTCATAGGCGAGCCTTGTGAGTGTGTGTGTGTGTGTGTGTGTGTGTGTGTGTGTGATGTGACCCCCCCCCCCCCAGCATCCCTTCAGGCCGGCCCAGGTCCGGCTCTTCACCACGCAGGACTGAGAGCTGTGCTGGGACCGGCAGAAAACACGGGCAGGACCACCGATACACACACAGAGCGCCTCGGCTTTTGGGCAGCGTATAAATGGAATGAAGCAGTGCCTATACAATAGGGGTGCTGATGGGGCACTCTCTCCCCGCTGGGGGGCGGCCACCTTTTAAGAGGAAGAGGGAGGACGACTCGGGGAACGGGAGGGAGAGCGGGCACCCGAGGTGGCCGGCAAGAGGGTGGGCGGAGACAGGTTCTGGCACGGGAAGGAGGCGGCGGCTCCCTTTCCCCTCTGGTGGACTCTGGCGCCTGCCCAGCACTGACCTTGCCCTGGGCGACCAGCTCCCGTTGAGCAGCCGACGCAGACTTCACAAGGGCACTGGTGGCGGCGGCGATGGACTTGGCTGCCTCGAGGATCTGCTCTTCGAAGTCGAGGGTCTCGTCTGCTTGCTGGGAGCAGAAGACAAGAGGGTTAGCGGCCGGTGCCCGGCATTTTGCTCCGTCTCTGCGGCAGAGTCCCAAAGCAAAGTGCTCTCCCGTCCTTCCGCGTCAGGAGGGACCCGAAATAATATAGCTGCGTCAGGCGGCTTTCAGATCCCATATGGACTTCCGCCTCGGCATCCCGGGGGCTGCTGGCCCCCCGCGCTGTGCACCAGTGCCGTGCTCCAGGGCATGGGAAGAGCGGTGCTGGATCAGGGCAGGGTCCCTCGTGGGATGGGGCTCTGCGGTCACGGCTACTGCGCATGTGTCCTGGGCACTGTGGGCAGGATCCAGCCGAGAAGGCTTCTCCCAGGGAGTGCCAGCCTGGGCGCCCCCCAGTAGCGGTGCCGAGCCTCTTCGGCCCGAGGGCCACATTCGGTTGCAGGGAGGCCCCTGGGGCCACATCTCACGCTGGGCGGGGCAGAGGGCAAAGCAGAGGGTTCCAGGCACCCACCCCACCTGTTGCAGCTTAAAGCTTCTCCGGCTCTCAGCTGAGCACTCGGAGATGCTTTCCAGGGAGTAGGAAACATGGCACAAAAGCTGGGAAACTACCCAACGATGTGGGTGGGCAGAAAGGGGCAAGCCCTTCTGGGAAATGCCAGAGGGCCTTTTACAGCTCTGACATAAGCTCAGGGTACTATCAGTCAGAAATCAATCAGAAATATGGGGAAAACTCTTCGGGCTTTGCTGTGCGGGCTTCCAAGCGACAGGACAGGCAAAGGCTATGTCTCTCCGTGAGGGATTCTGTCGCACGCTGCGCCACTCCTTTTTCCAGGCCTCTCTGAATCCCTTCGGGGCAGAAACTCAACCCTAAGAAATGCAGGAGGCAGGGGGCTTCGAAAGCCCCCTCCCCCCGGCAGGACAGACAAACTGCCATTTTGGGAGGGTGTGCAGGCTTGCTTTCAAAGCGGGCGCGATGGAGAGATTCATGTGCCGAGAGGGCACAGTGCAGCGGTCAGGCCCACACCCTGCAAGTCGGGTGAACAGCATGTGCAGGAGCGGCCTGGCTGGACTGGACTGGGCCGGGGGTCCCCCAGCGCTGTGTCCACCGTGGTCAGCCAGCCACCTCTCCAAGAAAGGCAGGAAACGGAGGATCTCCTGTCCCCAGCATGTCGCCTTCGAAGGAAACCAAAGCCTCCAGCCTAGATATGGAGGCTTTTCCTTAGCACCCATAACCAATAAGCGATAGGTGACTCCGCAGCCAGCATTTCCCCCATTTATTCATGTTGACAAAAGCAACGGAGAGAAACTGCTTTCAACTTCCAGATGTGTTTGTCCACAACTCTCAGCATCCCAGGATGCCGAGGGTGGTCGTCCAACACATCTGGATGGTACCCGTTCAATGGGGTGTTATCCCCACCTCCCATGACAGCACATTCCCCCTCCCCCCAACATCACAGGTCTCCTTTCAATCAGGTTTTAAGTAGTAGTAAAATAAGCAGAAGTCCTTCTAAAACCTCTCGGCCTCTTTGCGGAACATGTTGCCTCCAGCTATGGTTTTTATATAAAAAAAGACAAGAAAAAGGCCCCGGAGACAGAGCGGGACACTGTAGGAATGTTTGATATATAGTTGGGCTAAATTACAACCTAATATATCAAACATATCACACAGAGTCCCGCAGGAAAAAAAAGGCATCCAGAATTGGGTTCAGCTGGACTACTGGGCGCTGAATGCTCGTGAACAGGAAGATGCTACCGGCCGCTGGAGAGATAAACCTTCCCCGGCCCACTCCTCTCTCAAATGCCGGAGCCAACGGGCCGAGCGAGGCGAGAACGTCAGGGAGAAGAGACTGAGCTTCCGCAAACCCTGCCCAACGGGGGCCGTCTTCACCAGAACCACACTGCCCCCTGACTGCCTTCCAGCAAACTCGGTGCGTTTTCCTTGCGTAAGATACAAGGCAGGTCTCTCTCTCAATTTTCCCCACCAATGTTCGATGGACAATTTAAAGCGAGGTCGCCGCCCCGATATGTGATTCACGGCCAGTGGGTGCTCCGAACAAAAAGGGAACGTGCCCCCGAGGTAATGCAGCAAGGATTCTGCAACAGGGAAGACGGCAGCCAGCTCCCAGAATTTTTGCAGAGTTTGCTCTGTTTTTTGCTAGTCCTGGGGAAAATCAAGTCCTCACTCTGACTGCTCAGTAACTTGTTTCAGCCAGTCCTCTCTGGATTTTTTTCCTCCCAAGTGTCACCCACGCACTTTCAGGCTCTCTTGCCACGCGTGCTATGCAATGTTATCAGCAAAATCTCTTTTTTCAAGCCCCTGCGGATAAGATTGCATAGCGTAGTCCCCAGAACTTTGTCTTTCCTTCTGCACAGCTTCATTTCCCAGGTCGAATTCCTTCCAGAATGTGCAATGAGAAGCCCCTGGATGGTAAGAAGTGCTGTGTTTTTCAGGAGACGTTTGGGGTCTTGGCAGGGGGCCCCTGGGAGAGCAGGGGGCCCCAGGAGAGGACTTGAGCAGGATGCCGTTCTAGGGGGGAGCCAGACCGACCTCCCCCAGGATCGGGGCCTCCGCTGCTGTCTGCTGCTTGGCTTACCTTGGGCTTGGCTCTCGGTTTCAGCTGCTCCAACTTCTTTGCCGCGGCTTCGATGGACGCGGCAGCTCCCAACAGCTCCGTCTCGGCGATGACGGTGGGGTCCTCGGGATCGACCCATTCGGTGCCTGAAGCGAGCGTGTGAAGAGAGAAAGAAAGAGAAAAGCGATCAGACCAAAGCCAGCGGCTGAGTTTTAAGCAGACAGTGCTTGCTGCCAGGATCCAACAAGGTGTCAGAAGTTAAGAAGCAAAGAGGGTGCGTGTCCTGCAAGAACAACACATGGAAGGAAGGGGGGGTCAGCCACCGGCCAGGCAATCTAAAACAAAACTGTCTGTTTAGCCCCAGAGCATCAAGGAACCACGTATCTCTTGTGAGGCTGCTTGGAATCTCTCCTGGGCGCACCTACACCTTATCTCTAATCCATTCAAGCACAACAGGTCAGAGCAAGGACACTTCCAGCTGAGGCGATGTCTTCTCTTGGCAAGCGGTGTGGAATCCCGGGCAGAAAATCCACATTGTCCCAGTTGAAAAAACAATGCAGATGACACACTTAAACATCATGTTGCCCAATGACCTGGGACACCTTCCTTTTTCCCACAATTGGATTTTCTCTTCTACTTTCTGGGGGTGGAACAAGCAAGGGGAGAAAATTCACAGAGCTGTTCTCAGCCAAGGTTTTCTCTAAAATGAGGACTGGAAACGTTTCATATCCAAATATGAAAGCAAGCCTTTGAGAAGGTTTTCCAGAGCCTGCAGGTAAACGCTTTGCCATGTGATTTTGCCATGCCGTCAGATGTGTGCAGTTCCTAGAACTTCTCTAACAGGTAAGCACACAGTGAGCTGAAACACATGCACCAGCAGATAGCAGTGCTGCCTAGTGGCTACAGGCACAATCCAGCAAATGTCACATTCATTCATTCATTCATTCATTCATTCATTCATTCATTCATTCAAAGCTTTTATAGACCATCCCCATTACTAGTGTCTCGGGATGGTTTACAACAAGCACAGATAAAAAAAGCTACAAGAGTAGGCAGTCTTTGGAAAGTTCTCTCCTGCCTGCCTCAGTGAGCCAGTCTGTAACATGGGAATAACGATAGGAACGAGGGTAGAATTATGCACATGACAAGACTGTTGGAAAGATTCCAATGATGGTGCATAGGCAGCGCTCAGGAAACCTGCAAGCGTCGCGTACGCTGCCAAGCATTCCGGCTGCCAGTCGCTTAGTTAAGGAAAACTCTCCCGGCGATCCTCGGCACAGCCACTCAGAAGAAAGCCCCATTAAGTCCAGGGAGGTTTGCGTCCTAGTAAATGAGTTCAGGATTGTGGCAAGTGGGTTAACTACAGAAGGGCTAAGAAAGAATGGACGCCGCATCCGACACCCGTGTAAAAAGCATGGCTAGACATTGTCTGGGGCCCGAGTAGCCACAGCCTTTTGTGCCCGACTTTACACCCACCCCCCCGAGGACGGTTCCTTGGCACGCTGGGCTGGCCGGTGGCCCGGCTCACCTTTCATGGCTTCCGCTGACTGTATGAGCTCCGTCACGGCGCCGGCCACCCGCTTGGACAAGCCGGCCAGCTGGTGCTTCAGCTCTGGGCTGGGTTTCTGGAGAATCTGCAGGCACAAAGTGCAGGGAGGGGGTGAACGGCGGTGGGCAGCCCCGCGACGGCCCCTCGGTGCCCGTTTGCTGCTGAGCTGCAGCCGCCGGGCACCGCGTCTGCTTTTCCTCGGAGCCGCCTCGCCCCTCCGAGGCGGGGAGAACCCAGACTGCGAGGACGGCGCGGCCATGCGAGGACACCCACGGCTCCCCCGCCACAGCCACTCAACGGGGGCGGCTTTGCTGGGGCAGCCCCATTAGGCCCAGAGCCCGGACTGGCCCGCTCCAGCCCGCCCCGCAAGGCAGCCTCTGCACAACTGCTCTGCCGCACCATCTCCTCCTCGGGTGTCCCGCACCCTGCTGCCAAGCCGCCTCGGCCTCCAGCCACCGGCACACCGCTGGGCAGAGGCGTGCGCAGCCGCGACGTGCCAGGCCAGGAGGAAAGCCCTTCATTCGCCCACCTAAATCCTTGTTCGTGTCTCTGACACTGCAGTTCTAGCTACGATGAGCACAGAAGGCGGAAGAGGAGGCCCCCTGGCCATGCCCTCCGCACTCTGCATCCTTCTGCAACCTGAGGCCACCCGACGTGCCCCACGGCACCCGCCAGGTGTGCCTCGCCATTCCACGGAGCAGAAGCCGCAGCTGAGCTCCGTTCGGTTGAACACAGGCAGCCGGGCCGAGGGTGGGCACCTGGCTCGGGGCAGGCCCGGGGCATGCCAGGCTCCGTCCTCCGGACCTCCCGTTCCCCCAGGAGGCCGCTGCTTGGATGATGCCAGCACAGACCCTCCACGGACCTGTCCTCCCCCACTTCCCCTTCCCCACACTTGGAAGGCTGTCTTCCAGGCATGGGGAACTGCCAGCCTGTGGCAAGATGCAGCCGGAGAGTCCCCCAGCTGGCCCTGCTCCTCTCCCCAGCCAGGGAGCCCTCTTATTTCTGATCAGCAGGTGAGCGGAGAGGAGGCATTGGCTGCCTGGTGCTGGGAAGGGTTCCTGCCCTGAGGCTCCGGGTGCCCCGTCCCATCCTGATGGATCCCCCTCCTCCCTCGGAGTTACACACGGGCCCAACGGCAGATTCTGGCTGCCCCAGCAGCAAGCTGAACCTGCTGCTTTGGAACTTCAGGGGCTTTTCTGGGCGATCGCCACCCCAACGCGCGTGGGGTTCACGGTGTAGCTGCCCTGCTCAAATCTGGCCCGTAACAGGACAATGATATTAACGAAATACACCAGATGGCAATTCGGAGAGACTGAAAGCTGATGCGGGAACTGTGATAAGCGGTCTTTGCTCCAGCAGAAGAGAGATGTTCTTTTCTGCCTCGATCTGGCAAATCCTTCTAAGCACTCAGCTGCTGGAAGATAAATTATTTCCCACCGAGCTAGTTCTTGGAATGAGATTTAGTGGGGTTCATTCTTCTCACTTCCTAATGAGTGACAGGCGGGAATGCAATTGTCGCTTTTGTTTCTCGTTATCTGTATTGCAACACATGCCCATTAATTGAATTAACAAGCAGCGTTCACAATGCCACCCCTGGCAGAGAGACGCTTGCCTGTCCGCGGCTTTTGATCTGCAGGTGGCACAGACATCTCTATTCACGCGGCGCCTCAGCCGAGAGCAGCACCGGTGGCGGGGGGAGGCATTCAGGGGTGCCTGAGCCCAAAAGGACCTGGAGAGCCAGCAGCCTCTTCCCACCTCGCACGCCCTTGTCATTAAGAGCCGGAATGCCAGCAAAAGACCGGGCACTGCTGGTGAAAGGCGCTCGCGAGTGGGAGAGCGACCTGACGACGTGGGGAGCCCAGGAGATCCCTTTCAGCGGCTGATTCTGGGTGCCTCTGTGGGTGAGCAAGCCCACCGTGTGGGCCTCTTGCGCAGACAGGGCTGCGTGGATCGGGTCCACATCAGTCAGTCCGCTACTTAGGACCATCCCCTCCCAAGCAGGCCTGCAATCTTTTCTCTGTTGCTCTGACCATCAGCTGCGGGGCATGGACTGGGACTTGCAAGTTCCAGGTTGTTATCCCTGCTTGCTTGCGTCCCTGGCTGGCCTTCAGCCAGTCCCTGATTCGCAGTCTCACCTACCCCACAGGGCTGTCGTTGTGAGCATAACGTAGGATGAGGATTATGTAAGCTAGCTGGGGTTTGTTGCAAGCAGAAAAAATGACGAGTTGGAAGTTCAACTCTCCTGGCATACTAATCTTTTTAATGCTTTTGTCTTTTTATGGCTGCCTTCATCCTTTGGACTGTTCTTGCAATGTCATCTGGGTTTTTCTTACTGTAACTCTCCTGGGGGCTTCTGACAGTTGGTCAATCGGTACGTTTAGAAAGAAATAAGCGAATTAACAGAGTCAAGATTCAGGCCGCCTGTGGGCCCCACACGGTGTCCATTTAATGGTCGGGTCATTCCCGTCCACTCTCTCTAGACTATGTCCAGTATTTTTACTGAAATCGTTTCTGTTAGCATAAATTGCTTCCCACTTTGCACGCTGCAATTTTAAGCCATACCTAACTGTCTGTATTTGCGGCGTGTGATTGTATGAATCGTGAGACATGAAAGGACGTGCACGAGTGAATCAGAGGGCCATCGAGGCGGTCTTGGCTTCCCCTCACCCAGCCCCATGCAGCCCCCTCCAGGCCCATGGGCAAGAAGGGCCCCTCTGCCACCTGACCCCTTTTGAGGCGGTGCTGGCCAGGGACACACAATCGCTTACTGTGAGGACATGCTCCAGCAGCTCCAGGTATCCCAGGGTGCACTCGGTTCCGTAGCGCAGCGCTCTTGCTCGGACCTCTTCGCTGACGTCCGGGTGGTACGAGGCTTGCTGCGGATGCCAAAGGACGGCAGGGCCGAGAGTGAGCGGCAGGACTGGCCAGGCGACACCGCTGAATCTTCCGCACCGCCGCCTCCCCCCCACCCCGAGGTGGCACCTCCAGGGGCACCTCCGTCACAACACCAAGCCGGCCACTCCGGCTGAGCCTGCTCTTCGGGGGTGCTTGGAAAGCAAAGCAAAGCAAGCGGGGCTCTCGGCCGATTAAAGAATGCTGTGTGATTCATTCGCTGGGCAAGTCACTCCTTGAAAGGCTGCCTCTAAATTTAAATGCATTTGCATTTTACCAGCAAGTTCAGTATTTAAACGCTCTCCCAACAGGAGACCAGAGCAAGATGCTGCAAAACTGGACCAATGAAAGAAAACGTTTTCACACTTGGTGCTGAGCCGGCCTTAGCTGAGCTGGCGCCCTCTGGGTGCGTCGGTTCTCAGCCCCCACAGCAGGCGAGAGACCTGGCGAATTCACAGGTCCCTGGCTCAAATATCTCGGTTCCCACATTGCATGGTCAGCCCTCTGGCTGCCTCACGCCACGTGGAGAAATGCAGCACTGTGCAACTTTCCTTCTGCCCTTCCGTCTGTTCCCTTGCCTCCCCGTTGCCCTTGGAGATGGGCGCTCCATGGAGAGTGACCCCCTGGGCATCTGCCAGCATCAAAGGACCAGACCAATATCCCATCTAGATGGCAGCTAACACACCCATTGCAACGGTCCCTCCGACAGGCTGTGCGAGGATCCGCACATACGACTGACTTAATACACCTTTTTAAAGAATGGAGTGCCACCTTTTGAACACTGTGCGGGAAGTTCGCCAGAAGTGAGGTTTAAAAGCACAGGAACTGAGAGGCAGAAAGTACGGAACAACTGAAGAATCGTACTTCTTCATGATTCTATAGCAGTTGTGAGTATTCAAAGCCCTTCATGCTTTATCTTGTAATTCTTACAAATGCTTTGAAAAGTAAAGTCATTATTGCAATACTGAAACTGAAACCTCCTACTTTAAAATGAAAAGTCTGGCAGACTTTAACCCCCACACCTACGTTCCTGAAAGATGGAAATTTGAGCAAAATCAGTTTTAACAATCAGAAAACAACAAAAAACAGCCATCAAGCAATTCTTTTTGGTTGCCAGAAATTCCCCACCCCCAAATATTTAAATATGGATTTGTTTTCCAGCAGAATTCAGGTTTTGCCCCCCAGGAAAACAAACCCAGCCACCCACCAATTGAACAGGTTTTAAAGATTTTAAAGAAATGCTCAGGATTGCTTTTGGCCCGGCCACAATTTTTTACCTTGCAGGCTGCCAGCATGTCGGAAACGGCTTTGCGACTCAGGTTGGCCGTGGCGATCACGTCCTCCTGCCGGCACGAGTTCCCAGCTGCCACAGCTTTCGCCGTCGCCATGGTGATGCCTTTCGTCATACGGATCGATTCTTCGGGAGACGAGGTCTTTTCGGGAACTTCCTTGGACTGAAAAACCTGGAAGTACCAAAATCATCATTCAAAAAAAAGAGAGGAAAAGCGAGAGACACACGGACAGGGCACTGTGCCTTGACGTTTGATCTTGTGCTCCGAAAGAGTTACGCCAACTGGAAGCAAATGTGAGGACGTGGGACAAATAAACGGAACTCAGTTTGATCGAACCTCTGCAAAGCGCCGCCTGTTCTGACGCGGGGGCTCCGAAGTGCCTGGGACCCACACAGATAAGGCACGGTTTGGACTGGCACACCCACGCTGGATAAAACCGGTCACCTTTGCACGTCAGACTCATACAGTCACACCCTGGGCTTCCCACTGGTTTACGGCAGCCGACGTCTGGTTCCGGGGAGGTTTGTCTGGTGCCTGCATTATCTCTTTGGGTCAGGCAGGGACCTTCTTTTTCTCCTTGACATTTCAGAAACCTGCCTTAGAATTCTTTGCGGCTGTTCTGTCGATACCTATGCTGTTTGTTGGTTCCTTTTGACTTGCATTATAACCGTATCAATGTCGGCACCGTTTTTAATCTTCTTCACTGTTTCTGTGGTATTTCTTGCTGTTAACTGCTTGTAAGCCAGCCAGAAAACATTTGCTGTTGGTGTTTTCTGTCTGTCCACTGTCAGAGCACCTGCTCAGGTTCATTCTGGCCACAGCAGCTTTTTTAAAACAGATTTTAGTAACAAGAACCACCACCACCGTGACACCTGGGGCTAAGGCTCCATGCAATGAGCAGCAATGATTTTCATAAACATTTCTTGAAAAGTTTTACCTTCTGATCCCACTAACAGAGAAGTACTGAAAGGATGGAGCACCTAGGCTATGACACACTAGAAAGGAGTTGGGTCAAAGAGCCAAGGGGTCCCAGAGAGAGCGTGCTGCCTCGGAGCAGCCCTCGCCCACCGCCATGCGCCCGAACTCTGAGCGCAGCGTGCTTTGCTCGGAAGAGCCACACAGCGCATGGCCATGCAAAACTGCTGTACATCAGAGGAGGGAGAGGAAAGGTGACTTGGTGCTGGAGGCATTTAGCCATCCTCAAGTCACCTGGGCAGGTTCCGATGCACGTCCCTAAGGTACAGACGTGCATTTCTGCAGGAGGGCGGCAGAAACAACTCTGCTCCAGTCCCCAGCTTCCCCTGCTAAATGCGATCTCACGTGCAGGCCTGAGGAAGACCTGTCTTCGAGGCCCTGGAGAGCCTCCACCTATCAAAGCGGGCAATACTAGGCCAGATGGACCAAAGGCGGGTTGTTGTGCTGTGTGAACCCAGTTGTGCTACTGAACTATGGTTTGCTAAGCACAAGCAACCCACAGTTCACAAGCGAACAACAAACTAGGGGTCTTCTTCATGGCCTGTCCATGGTTAACTAACCACAGTTCACTAACATGGCCGGGTTCATACAACAGAACAACCCACAGTTCAACAAGAACCCACAGTGACAGTCCACAAACATCAGAACATATGCAGACTCATGCTGGATCAGACCCTGAATCCATTTCATCCCACATTCTGTTCACATGGTGGACAACCAGTTACCCACAGGTCCCCACAGCCGGTCAAGATCGCACCAGCTCCCTCTCACCCACGTTCCCCGGCCTCTGACACCCTGAGTGGCTTGCTGTGCTGTGTGAAGCCAGCCATCGCCTGTACCGTGAGCTCCTGCTTGATGTACTCGATGGTGGCCTCCAGGGCCCGTGTGCCACGCGTGGCTTCATCTTCTACAGCTTTCACCGTCTTCAGGAGCGACGTGACATTCGTGACCATCACCTGCAACGGCGACAGAAGGAGAACGGCTTTGCCACCAGCTCTCTCCACAGGGTGCCGGAGCATCATCAAGATAATCCCACGGATCGGTTCAAACCCAGACTGGAGACGAGTGGGTTTGATTGGAGCGGCTTCCCTTTCCTGGAGAGCTCGGGCACCAGTCTGAATAGCACACAAAACGTGAGTGACCCCCGTTTTTAGCAGATTTGCAGGAAAACGTGGCATGATGGGCGAAAGACGTTCTGGGCACTGGGGGTGAGGGAGGACTCCTCCTTAGGCTCCCAGACTTACAGCCTTAACTATGGAGGGGAAGAAAAGGAAGAAAAGGACCTCGCAAAACACCTATATGCACGCCCACGTCTGCTCACATGTACGTGTGTCTGGGACACGGCAGGTGTACTTTGAAAAACAACGCCGATAGGTCTTTACGGGCCAAAGAAAAAGGTCAGAGCCACACCTGCCCAGGTAGGACTTGCAAGGGAATGAGAAAACAGTTTTGAAGATGTGTTCAAACGAAACCATTTGGATCCTGCTGGGCCGTTTATACCTTGGCAGCGCCCTTGAGCTGGTACATGGAGGGATCATCGGCCGGCTTGCTCGCCGCTCCTTTAGTCGCGCCAATGAGGTCGGACAAGGCCTTCGCGACGTCCTTAATGGCATTGATCAGGACAACCTGCCGGACGGAGAAGCAGGACGTGTGTTAGAGCGGCTTCTCAAGTTTGGAAGGATATCATCATCATCATCATCATCACCACAGGTGAAACTTTCTGGGCAGCTTGCGCCAAAGAGGAGAGGAAACACACCAGGAACGCAGAGTGACTCCACGTGCAATGCCTTAATTCAGCACAGAGTTCAGCCTTGACCTCTGATCGAAGATGTGAAAGGAAAGCTGAATTCTCACAGAGCATCTGTTGTAAACAGGGAAGCCCTATGGTTTAGCTGTGGGTGAAAGAGAGGCCGCAACTTTTTTGCATGTCTCTTCAGATCTTATATCCATCTCATGTGTGTGCATGCGAGCGCAGGAAAAGGTTCCGAAAACACCAGTGGTTTTATCCAGTGGCCAACCTCATTCTAACAGAAAGGGCTTCTTCTCAAACCATGGGCTGATGCGCGGTTCCCAGGGGCACCTGACCAGGGGCAACAAACCGCCCTGGCTGGGTTTGCATGGCCTGGCCAGTCACGCTGCCACGGGAGATGGTCCAAACCACCCGAGCACAGAGCCGGGGGTGGGAAACAGGGCATCCTGGCTTGTTTCCCCTTCATGGTCTTGTGGCAAAGACTCTTCGGTTTCTGGGAGGGGCCGTTTTCCAGCCCTCCCAGGAGGCCCTGAGGGTTGGAGCAACACCTCCAGCGAGAGCAAAGCTGGGCATCTCGCTCCCCACACACTTCCCTCCTTCCTCTGTGAGGAGGACCCCCCCATGGGCCTCTGCGAAGGGCGGCACCAGAGACCCACACAGAATTCCTCTGGAGACATCAGTGAGGTCACCCACGCCCGTGCAGCGCCTGCATCAGCGTCCACGACCCCCGGAAACCTGTCTGGGGGGCCCCAGCAGGAGCTCTGGTGCTCTCTCCGGCCAGAGGAGTGCCTTCCATTTCTGCTGCCAGCTCTCCCAGTTAGCTAGAGATGCTGGCCGTGGCGCTGCAGCGCTGCTGGAGACAAACATGGTGCCAGCAAAGCAGTTCTGCCAAGACGGCAGCACCGCGGCACGTCTCCCGTGGGGGTTGCCCAGGGCGGACTTGGGCGCACACGCCTCCCTTCCGAATGGGTTTTGCGGAGGGCTGTCCTCGCGTTTGTGTCCCGGGCACTGCGCTCATCTCTTTCGGAAGTGCCTTGCCCGGCGTATTCGTTTAAAAGGAGATTTCCTAATTTAAGACGCGTGTAAGGAACAGCCTGAATAAATTAAACTGCTGAAGCCGCATCGGGCAGCTTGCCACTGCTGACGTGCCCGTCTCCGTGGGAGGAGGCAAAGCCAAAGGGGGTGATTAAAACACGACGAGTGAGCAAAGTCGCCGTGCCGCCGACCAGGAAGGGCCTAGTGTGAGCGGCTTGAAATGCAAAGCGGACGGTGCGGGTGGCTGCAATCCATCTGCGCGGCTCTTGCAGGCAACACAGCTGCGGGGCCAACAGCGCCGTGCCGGCGGGGCCCAAGAAAGGGGGGGCGGGGGAGTCGGAGGAGAGCGTGCAAACTGATAAGACAGGTGGGGTGGGAAAAACAGGATAGGTGGATGCCTCTGCACATGTGGAAGCTGCGTCTTTGCTCTCTGCTTTGCAATTCAAGTCTCCAAAGCAACCTCACACGGAAGGCAATGGAGGACCAGGCTCAGTACCCACTGCTCCACCCAGCTGCCCCGGGGATGCCTGCCCACCGGGCGGGAGGAAACAGCAGCTTCCTGCCCAGGCTCCTCACCAACTTGTGGGGCTGGTGCAGCCCCCCATCTCCTGAATCCGGAGCTCCAGCGTCCGCTCACCAGCGCACGCCTGCGCCCCCGAAGCCCTCTGTGACCTCGGCCATGCTTGGGCCTGCCAGGGCGAGGGCTCCAGGAGATCCTCTTGGGAGGGGGCCAAGTCCCCAGCAAGAGGGGCTTCTCCAGTCCCCTCTCTGGAGGGTCCTCCACGCTTCGCCGCTCCCGGCACCGACATGGGGCATTCCACGTACCTGGGTCTCCGGGTCATCCGAGCCCAGGCTGGCCGCCCCCAGTTTCACCACCTCGGCCAGCTGGGTGATGGTGCTTGCGGAGGACTGGGCGGCCTGGGCAAGCTTCTCCTGGCTCGAGGCGGCCCCCGAGACCAGCAGCTTTGTGTCTTCCACCAGAGCCTTTGCCGTCTTCAGGATGTTTTCCCTGGAAAAGGATGTGTTGGGAGGCATGAGGGGAGAAAGCGAGGACGCCGCAGCATCACTGTGGCCCTGGCGTGGCGTGTTGCCCGGGGAGGAGAAGACCCCGTCTATTTATGCATTGCTTTATCTGCTATAATTATATCACGCCTTTTCAGAGTTTTCCCCACAATGGCAATGGCTCAAGGCACGTTCAGAACACAATTTGGACTTTCTCTGCATTCTGAAAAGGTCGACCAGTTCTGCACTATTGTCCACATCGAGCAGCAAAATTAGACTCCTGGACTTGTAGTGTAAAAAAATATTTAAAAGTGTGTGTGTGTGCGCATGTGTGGAGAAAAATTCATTTAGGCAAAAGAAAATTAAAGTTGCTTTCCAACTTTACTGATCAAAGATATTCCTGACTTCACTTTCCTCTTTCCTGGACTTTTGCTAGCAGCAATAAAAAGAAATTGATCTTGCTTTGTGCCCAAAATACAAACTTTAAAAAAATAATTATCATCAGACCATTAACTAAGAATACTCTTCTCAAAAAGCACAGCTTTGTTTTCTCTTTTCCAATCTAGAAAGAGAATTTCAGAGAGGGCCAAGACAGTAAGAAACTGGGGATATTTCAGAATACTCCAGTCTTCTGGGCTTTCTGAAGAAAGCTTTCATTAATGTGGAATTACGTACTGCAAGCCAATAATAAAAAGAGAGGGGGACATTTTGCCACAGAGCTTTTTCCAAGCCACATGGGCTTATCAGGCTTTCCCCCAAGACAGCTTTTCGTCCCAGAGAGGAGACAGTTTTGCGAGTCTCAGAACTGCTGTAAAATAAAAAAGTAATGGGAAGCAATTTCAACTAGAGGCACTTCTACATCAAAACATTACTGTTTGGGGCTAGAAATAGACAGTTATTTTTTCATAGCCTCGAGAGAGACATCATTTCCCGTGGTGGACAAAGAGAACGCCTTCTGTCCTACTTTGGCCTCTGGTTAGACAGATCTGGCAGGTTTTTGCAGTAAGACAAAACCTGCATAACTTATTTGATGAGACAGAATGATAGGATGAGCCTAAGACATTATGAGCGGTAGGTTCCTGAGCGGCCTACTCCTTTTTACCCATCGGAAAAGGCAAGGAGGTAGCAGTCATTTCTTTTGTTCCCCCAGCATGGGATATTCATAGGTCTACACCGGCCCCAAAACCTCCTTTGTGAATATGCAGATGCAGAAAACTAACAAGCATAGGCAGCATTTTCCTCTCTGAACTTCCCCGAACTGGCCGGCCAAAGCCCAGAGTGAACTGCAAATGGAGCCGCACCCCCAGTTGATAACATCCTACTAGACCTTTGGAAGAGGAGGAGGAAAGGAGGGAAGGGGTACCTGGTGCTCCCTGAGGAACAATCGATCGCGGAAAAGTTCTGCCGCAGGGATCCAGGCAGGTTGATCGAGGCAGCCCCATGACCGCCAGTGCTGTCTCTGGTGCGGGGGTGAGGTTCAGCATGAAGGGGCTGAGCCTCGGATTCCCCTGCTGCCCCCAAATATTCGTCAGCTGCACCTTTCCGGACCACCCGGAGTCCCTTTGAGGTTTTTAATCCAGTGCCGCTCGCAGGAGGACACGCGCTCCTCCCGGTCAGCAATCCTGTCAGGTGCAATCCTGATTTTTCCCCAGTGTGCCTTTTTAACCATGGCGTTTTTACTCCATTTGGTTTTAGGGTTGCTTCTAACTAGGATTTAATTTTAATCCTGGGTTCCCTGTGGGCTGCCTTGAGCCCCGTGCCGGGGGACAGGTGGGGAGGGAAGATGGCCCCGCAGCCGAGCCCATCGGTGAGCCCGGTGGCCTCTGCCAACGTCGCCCTTCCGCAGCCGGCCCCTGGGGACCGACCTGTGGTCCGCGAAGGACTCGTTGTTCTCGGCATTGAGCGTCCCGGCGGTGGCGAACATGATGGTGGTGTCCAGGTCGGCGATGATGCCGGACACGGCGCTGGCCGCCGTGATGCAGGCCTGGGTGCCCTTGTTCCCTGCCTGCAGGGCGGACAAAACCAGGGACACCTGCGAGGGAGGAGAGCAGAGGCAGCTGCAGCGAGGCGCGCAGGCCTCCCCCTGCCCACCCAGGAGGGGCCGTCACGACGGCCGGGAGGGCAGGACGGCCGGGCCACCTCGCCGCTGAAGGAGCTGCTCCGGAGAGCTTTCTTGCGGCCTGTGGCACGGGGGGAAGGGGCGGAGCACGGCGAGCGGCACCCCTCCCACGATGAGCAGTTGTGAATGTGTGCACGTCATGCCAAGTGGCTCGCACACCCATCCCGCTCAGGGCCCTGGCGGGCGTCACCCTTTGCTCCAGCTGTGGCCCCAAAATGGGGGGGTTTCCATGTGCCTGCTGCCTGGGTGTGAGCAGCATGACGGGAGGGAGCAAGGGGTCCGTATGCCCTGCCTCCCCTGTCAGGTCCCAGCTGGGCCCCCGGAGCCTGTACCACCCCCTTCTGCAGGTGTGTTTTTTCCATGCGCTCCCCAGCACCAGAGCTCCCCATACTGGGCTTACTGGGTAGCACCAACAGTTCCAGTAAAGGGAGATTGCTGGGGGCTTGGCAGGGGTTCCTGGCCTTTGCCTCTGACACAGAGGCATGCTGGGGGTTGTAGTCCCCTATGCAGCTTTGGAGAGGCCGCACTGGGACCAGAGAGGCGCCCGATGCCCCACGGAGTCCGGGCTGGCGCAAGCCGTGCCGAGGGCCCACCTTTTCGCTGACGGCCCGAGCACACTCGATCAGCTCCCTCTTGGTGTAGCTGTCGCTGGGACAGATCTGCAGTGCACCGGCCTTCTGGACCAGAAAGATGCAGCTGTGCCCGAGTTCTTGAACCCGTGTTCGGATCTGGAAGCCTATCTGGAAAGCCAAGGGGTGGGTGGGGAAGGACAGATGTGCAGGGGACAGGGGAGACAGAAGGAAAGGGCCGGTCTGGCGTCATCTGTAAAGGCAGTGAGCAAACATTCCCGCCTTCCTGCCTTATGAAGCTATCCTGGATTGTTGCGAGATGCTGGGCTGCCACTGTGAGGGGGGTAATGGGAGAAGGAAGGGTGCCACGGGAAACTCGTGGCATCTGGAACCGATGCCTCCATTTCTCCCGGGGCCTTTGCTCCAGAACCCACGTAAATCAACAAGATGTTCCCCCAAGCCTCTGAAATTCTTACAAAAACTCCTGGGCGCTTCCTGCTCCAGTTCAGTACTTGAGTTACCAGAGAGAAGTTCCAGGCTCCCTTACCTTCTTCGCCACACCACTTAGCTACCGATTTTAGAAGGGTCCTGGGGGGCACGATTGGGGTGAGAAAGGGGAAGCAGTGGGTGGGGCTTCTGGATTGAATTAAAGTCATGATTTAAATGGACGTGGTTGATGAAACGCGATCCCTGCAGGCGGGACGTGACTCTCGGCCTTCCCCTCTTGCTCACTGGGCTCCGCAGCCCTCCAGGGCAGATTGTGGGGGTGTGAGAGAAGCTACAGGCGAGAGAGAGAAATTGCTCCCCCTTCTTGGCTGACAGGGCTCCATGGGGCCCACGGCTCGCTTCGTATGTGGGCCTGCTCAGAGAAGCTAGCAAAGCTGTTCCGAAACCGTTGGCACAACCATCGCAACAAAATCCTTAAGATGAACCGTACGTCTCCTAATCCAAAAGGAAGAAACGGTTTTCTGCACAAGCAAGGTAGGTAGAGGGCAAAAAGGATTACAGGCAGGTCAGTTGGAGAATGGAGGCAGGAGGGGAGACTGGGGGGGGGGGGGCAGGGATTCGACACCGACGACTTTGTGTGTGTGAACTCAGAAGGCAACACAGGAGAGCGAACCTCCTCCGGCTCTGCGGTGGCTCCTGCCATCCGTCCCTGGAACGCCAGATGCCCGTAGTCCGTGGTCATCTGCGAAGCGAGTCCTCCCAGCTCCTCCGGATTGGTGACCGCCTTCGTCATCTGAAAGAGCACCACCAAGCCAAGCGGGCTGCGTCAGGGTGCCATGGCTCCGCACCCCAGCCCTTAGTTCAGCGCCTTCCGGAGCAGGAGACTGACACTCCCACAATCCTCCAGATGTGCCGCCGCCTGGCACGTCTCGGGGGCACCAGGTTGGGGATAGTGCACCCAAGCATGTGGGTGCAGAAGCAGGCGAGGCTTTGGGCCGAATCTCGGGAAAGGCGCCTCCTCGGGGCACGAAGCGCAGAGATGCCGGACAGCGGAACTGCTTCCAGTTTGAGTGGATGCCGCGGGCCAAGCCCAGCCACGCGGGATCCGAGGGCCATGCCAATTCCTCTGGCCCCGCCCCCTCTCCCCCCCACCCCCAGACCCAGGGTGGGGGTGCGGGTGCGGTGATGCCCTGCCCTGCCCAGGGGCTTTGTGGGGGCAGCCGCTCCCCAGAAGGGGAGCCCAGTCCCGTGGAAGCCGGTGCGGCCCCTCGCCCGCCTTACCATCTCCTGGGCCGTTACGGCAATCGCTTTGCAGTACTTGACCACGGTGGTCTGGTAGTCCACAAAGGATCCCGCCGGCTCTGGCGGGGTGCCCTCGTCCAGCTGAGCGGGGGAGCAACGGCCGGAAAGAGAAGCGGGACGAAAGGTTATCGGCACGGCGCAGGCGACGGGGGAGAAATTAGGCTCTGTCAGTGCCAAAGAGCTGGCACCAGAGAACATAAATCAGGAATGCAAATTAGGAATGCTGCACCCAGTAGCTGTTTTGCATAAGGTCTGTTTTGCAAATGCTGGTGCCCTTGAAGACAATGCGCACATTCAGCAGGCCGGGCGGTGAAGAACGGGCTGGCATTGCCCACGCGCTCCAGGGAAGGCCGCGGCCCCAGGCCCCAGGCCCCGGCCGCCCCAAACACGCGGAGGAGAGGCCGCCCCAGCAAACCTTGCTCATGGCCTCGGCGATGGAGTCCACCATGTTCCCCACCATGCCGACCTCGCTGGCCGCTTCGTTCAGGGTCACCATGATGTCGTCCACCGCCTCCTTCATCAGCTGCGCCGCCTCCGTGATGGCATCGTGCGTGTGCGACGCCTGAGCGAGAGGAAACCGTCCGTGCCACCCTCGATTTTGCTCTTCTGCACCACTTCCCCACAATCCCTTCTATTTGCACACATGCGTGTTGCGAAAACACGGAATAACCCCTCGCCGTTTTCAGTACGAGGTCACTTTTCCACCCAAGAGGGCCTTCGAAGCGGCAGCACGGAAAGCAAAACGTGACGGACACGCTTTTAATGGGGGCCGAAATGTGGTCTCTCAGCTGTGTGTGACCCCCCAGGGGGAGGAGATCCATAGCCCAGAGGCCCCAAAGCTCTGCTCCAAGTCCCCACGTTGCAGGCCAACTCCAAAAGCCACCCCCTGGGGAGGAGACAAGCAGGTTCCGGACGTGCCCAGAAGTCCCATCCACCTTGGACGCAACAGCTCTTTCCATGCAGCTCAAGGAGCTCTTTCCGAAGCTCCGTCTTGGCTGCTTGACTGGGCAAAACTGGGGGGGGTATGGGGGGGGGGGGGTGCAGAAAACAGGGCCCACCCTGCAATCCAGGGGGTGGCGTACCTTCGGGTTTCCGCCGCCTTCCTTGGCCGCATACAGCATCTGCAGTGCAGATTCCGCCAGCGTCTTGGTCTGGTCCAGCAGATTCATCTGCTGCTGGTGGCTCATCAGCTTGGAGACGACCCCAACCGCGGCGAGGACCAGCGGCTCGAAGTAGCTGGCCAGCTGAGTCACCTGGGACGGGAAAGAGAGTCGAAGGGGCTCGAAGCAAACACAAAGCTTCTTCACATCCCGACTGCTGGGAAGTGAATCGGGGCATTCGCTGCTTTCCGGAGCATCACAAGAGGAGAGCTGGGGCCAAACAGGGCTCCGAACGAGGGTGCCTAAAATCGGACCCTCAGACGAAGGAACGGAAGCCCCGGTTCGCTGGCCTGGCTGGCGGCTGCAGGTCTGAGGTGCCAGCTTGCCCCCTCGGTGGCCTCCTGCACGGCAGTGGCCCGTTCCTCGTGGTGCCCCACCGGCGTGGCCCTGAGGCCACCGTGCCGGCAGCGACCGCACTGGCAGGAGGGCTGCCAGCTGCCGGGTCTGGATCCTTCCGCTGCCTGTGGCCCTCGGGAGGCCGTGCCGGAGCGCCCTGGTTCCTACCTTGTGCCCAAGCTGGGCCGCCTCGCCCCGAGCGGCCGTGGCGATGGGATCGATGAGGTGCCCGATTTCCTGGACGACCGAGGTCAGCTGCTCCTGCAGGGCCTGATCAGGGAGAGCAAAGGGCAGCTCAGGCAACGAGACCGTAGCACCACCACGGACCTGATCCGCCGCCCGAAAACCCAAAGCGCAGGACACTCCTTTCCCCCTCTTATTTTGGCATCAACGTTCCTCCCAGGTTGTGGCCTTTGCCTTCCTGGGCCAGCGCTGCCTACGCCAGTCTTCCTCAACCCGGTGCCTTCCAAGGGGCTGCACTACCACGTCTATCATCCCCAGCCAGCATGGCCCCCTCAGGAGGCCATTCCATTCCAACCAGCCTGGTTTCTTCCGCGGCTGCTGCTTCCTGCCAGCACGGCAAGCCTCCCGGTGTGCCTCTGCGTCTAGTTTATGACACGCCCGGGCTGCGCAAGTTGGCTTCGAGGAGACGCCAAAGGCTGCCAGCCCCCCCCCCGCATTATGCGCACCCACCTCCTTTGCTCCTGCCTCACTTCTCACGGCGACCCCCCTTCCAGCCCAGGCCCACCCCTTCGAGAGATGACGGAGAGAAAGGGTGGACTGGAAAAGCGCAACCCAGAGGGCGTTTCAGGCCGGGGTTGGTGGGCAGCCTGCCTGCGTTGGGGGCGAGTGCGGCTCGCGCAGCTGGAAGAGGCCAAGATGCGTCGCAAGCAAACCTAGCCTGATTCCAGCACCGGATTTACGACGCCTTCTCTGCTCAGGCCCTTCCACGGCCCACGTTCCCCAGCTATGTTAATCTGATGCACCAAATCCTGTGAACTCCCCTCAACTCAGCACTGGCTGGGCCTCAGCCAGAGTCCCGTGCCCAGTTCTGGGCACTGCAGTTTAAGAAAGGTGCAGACAAGCTGCGAAGGGTTCAGGGAGGGCAACAGGGATGATCCAGAGACCAGAAACGAAGCCCTACGAGGAGAGCTGGAAAGCACCGGGCATGTTCAGTCTTGAGAAGAAAAGACCAAGGGGGGATAGGATAGCACTCTATGAGTCCTTGAAAGGCTGTCAGAAAGGGGAGGACCAGGATCACTTCCGGATCGTTCCAGAGCGCAGGACAGGGCAGAACGGAGTCACGGGATGGAAAGACGAGCTCTGGCGGAACGTAAGAACTTCCTGACCGTTAAGGGGGCATGGCAATGGAACCGAGGGAGGTTAGGGGCTCTCCCACCCCGGAGGCCTTCAAGAGGGGGCTGGACAGCCCCCTGAGAGGGACGGCTGGACTCGGGAGTCCTGTACTGAGCCGGGGGCTGGCCCCGACGGCCCTCTGGCCCCCTCCAGCTCTACTCTTCCAGGAACTCGTGGCACACGCTCATCCCGTGGTGAGCGGGCCTCGCTCCTCCTGCATCGGCCTCGTGCCGCTCTCTCCCGCTACCTCCACGGAGATGTCGTCCCTCGTGGCCAAGCTCTGGCTGACGGTGGCCAGGGAGGCCTGCTCGATGTCCCGGATGCACCTGTTGATCCCGTCAATGGAGCAGTCGCACTCCCGCTGCCCGGGGGCTTTGTCCCTGCAGAGCAGAAGGGGCCTGTCACGGTGCGGCAGGGCGCATCCAAGGGCTGGGAAACGGGGGCACCAGCTGGGCCTGCCCCAGGAGACAGCCGCGCGGGCTTCTCCCTGGCCCGGACAGCCTTTTCACGGTCACAGAATTCGCTAGCACGGGTTGTGCGGTGGCCGCCGGCTTTGCGAAGGGAAGAGAGAACGCGTGGAGGGCGAGGCTTTGGGTCAGGAGGGCCACACCTTCCCTTCCGTGCTGAGCGCAGTGGGCCTCTTCGAACCGGTGGTGGGGAAGGGGGAGCGGGCGGGGAGGGGGCACACACGTCCTGCGACTTGTGCCACCCAGTTGGCCAACAGAAAGCCGGGTTAGGTGGCCCTCTGGTTCGGGACGGGACGGGGCTTGTTCCCCATGTTGAAGCACTTCCATGAACTGGAATCATTTGCCCCGACGCTGCGGAGAACAGCAGTCTCTCCTCAGTCCCAGGAGGGACCACTCTTCTCCCTTTCCTTGTTCCCAGTTACAAGGCAGAGATGGAGAGCTGACGAGAACACCGGAAAAATCCGAAGGCAGGGTGGCGGTTCTCTGAGGGAGCCGGGTGTCCCGGACAGGTGCACAGCCCTCGCAAATGCCGATGCCGCCCGCCCTCAGTTAACAGGCGGGACTTCTGTCTTTTCTGGCCTTGCCCTCCCCACACAGACCCCTTTCCTCCCTTTCTGTGGCATTGCAGGGTGGCCTCCCCAGTGCCGCTGGGGCTGATGGGAGCTGTGGTCCAGGATATTTGGACAGCAGCCGCTTGGGCAGGGCTGTGGGTGATGGAGATTAAGACATCTGGGGCCGCAGCACCAAGGAACCGGAGGAGGGGGCAGCCCCCCAGCCCTTGGTGCATTTGGGGTGGGGGCAAGAGGAGGCGGGAGAGACGCAGACCTGATGGAGGTGATGAGGCTCTTGATGGCCTCGGACACCGTGTGGGAGTGCCCGGCAAGGACGGACCAGGTCGAGGGGTCCTTGGGGTGGATGGCCAGCGAGCGAGCCGTCCGGATCAAGGCAGCGGAGCCCTCCAGCATGGTCCGCGCAGCCGCCAGGATGGGCTCCTGCGCGCGGGACCCCTGCAAAGGAGAGCGGAAAGGCCGGCTGGGGGCTTCAGCTGCCACTCCCGGGCTGGCCCCAGGGCAGGGCCAGCGCTCAGGGCTCTTCCCGCAGTCAATTTGCCCCTGGACAGGGCCGGGTGGGTGGCTCGCCCCGGCCAGTTTCCTCTGCAAGGCCCCCATAGAAGGAGCGGGTGCGGGGGCAGCCGAACGAAGCCAGCTTGGGAGGAATCCCTCCGCTTACCTCCGCACTGATCTGGGCCGGTATGCTGACAAACTCAGGGTTCGATGCAAAGGCCGTCAGGTTTTCCACGGCTTCAATCAACGGGGCTGTGGCGATCCGGCACTTGGTGCGGTTTTCTTCTGAGAAGTCGCCATCCAAGGCCTGGGGGGGGGGGGAACGGCACAGGGTTCAGGGATGGCACCCCCATAGATGAAGCACAGATGCAATTTTTAAAACACTTGTGAAAGGGGAGTGTTCGGGGAAGCATTCCAGGTGCATGCACTGGCTGGAGATGCCGTCCTCGCACGTCAGCCTCCCGCAGATGGAGGCCTCCGAGATGGGAGAGCGCCACCCATCCAAAGCCCCATAGGCAGGGCTGGCACAGCATGAGGCCAGAATGCCCCATTCCTCCTCGAAACACCTTTTACGCTGCTGCATCTCTCAGCCTGTCCAGCTCTCAGCCTGTCCTGCAAGAGGTGAGGCCATGAGAGCTGACCATTTCAAAAGGTGGGCAAACTGGGAAGGGCACCCCAGCCCTTCAAGAGAAGACTTGGCATCAGCCCCCCTGCCCCCGCCGGGTCCCAGGACCATGTGAATGCTCCTGCTCCTGGGAAAGCAGACTAGCCAAGAGCACCGAACCGTCAACCGGCCCTGGGAGAGAAGACTTGGGCATCCCTGCCCAAGAGCGGGGTGAGGCCATTCACTCATTAATTGATTTCTTCACTTCTTCTTAGTTCTACATTTATATGCTGCCCACTAGTCCATATGGATTCACGAAGCAGCTTACATCAGAATCAATACTACAAATACTAAAAAGCACCACAGCAATAAAACCAATTATACATAGAACCCACAACAACAGGACTGTGAAACATTAATAGGAAGTGAGAACCGCGGTCGCAAAGCTCTCTTCCACCTCCCCACACTGGTATTTTCTGCCAAGCAAAACTCTGGGGAAGAACCCCACGATTTTTGAGGCATGGCGTCTCTCTCCTCTGGAATACCACAAGCGATCAGATTTGGTCTGTTCGGAGGATCCCCATTTGATTTGGCCAGCTCGGGGTTTCAATTTGCCTGACTCGGCGGCACAGCGAGAATCATAGTGTTAACATAGATAACTGTAGTGGGATTTTTGTAAAACGGCTCTCGGAGGAACACTGGGCCCTCCGAGTCGTTTCCTCTTTTCCTGCTTCCCACAGGTTTGATTTTTCACACCAGCTACTCGGTTTCCTCGGAACAAGCCTTCCTTCTTTCTCACGTACGGAGGATGGGGGGAACGGGATGCAAAGGGACTGAATTACGAGCTGACAAAGATATCAGAAACACTCCAGAAGTGCAGCTGTTCTCAAGAGCTGCAGGTGTGCGGCAGCCCAGGACTTCCGGAGGGATGCCGAACAGCAGATACTTCCTCGCGGAAGGACAAATGCCTTCCTGCAAACGTAAGCCTCTTTCTGAAGCCCCAGAGAGGAAGAGAGTTTAATCTTCCCTCGGCTGAGGCTGCCCTGACCGTCAAGCGCCAGGAGAGCCTCCGGAAAGCCGCGCACCTTGATCGTTTTAACCAGGTTGGCGGTGCTGTTTGCCACCTCCTTGGCGGACTGCACAAAGTGCCTCTTTGCAACGGGGTTGGCGGTCTTCGACGAAGCGATCCGGCAGGCATTGCAGAGCGCAGAGGTATGCTTGGCTACGATGGTGGCGGCTGACAGCACCTGAAAGACAGAGCAGGGAGATGCGGGCCTGCGGGAGCGCAGCTGGGGCCGTGCCCAGCGGAAGGGCGTTCGCTCCCGGGGAGCTCTGCCTGGTGCCGCCGCTTCATCCTTTTCTTAAATATTTTCCCAACATTTAATTGGTTTTATCTTTGATTTGATCATTACTGGTCGGAGGCAGCGTGCTGTCTGTTGCTGTTTTGCAACGGCATTTCACGTGGCTGGCCAACACTCTGCGCAAGCCCCTGTGGGGCATTACCTGGGAAGGGCTACTGGCTGGGTCCACCAAGTTCTGACATGCCATTTGAATGGCCTGATTGGCCCTGGCAAACTGGATTGGATCAACGAGACCGTGCTGGCCGGCCTGGCTGTTGGGGTCCGAGATGCCGACCAAGTAGGCAGCCTAGACGAAAAACAGAGACACGGTCGGTTCCCACATGCGGTCTTTGCAAGGACAGAAGAAGGGTCCAGATCAGGTGTTGGCCTGGTCCAGCATTCTGTTCCCTCCATGGCCAACCAGCTGCCTACGAGCAGGACTGGAGGGCAACAGCCCAGCAACTTGTGCACAAAGACACGTTGCCTCTGATACTGGACTAGTAGCCAGAGATTGTCTTCTCCATGAATCTATCCAACCCCTTCCAAAGTCACCCAAATCGGTGGCTGTGGCAACATCGTGCAGAAGTGAATTGCCACGCTGAGGAATTTTGCAGGCTCCGCAAAGAATATCATTCAAATCCTGCTCCACTTGGGTTCCTGTTGAGCGCAGCGCTGAGCAGCCATTTGCAATGCATCAGACCTGCGAGGCAGAGCAATTACGGGCACAGGAAATGCAAGAGGCGCTTCAAGCGCCATGTGGAAATCCTGACCTAGCACCAGTTCCCACATAATTTAATGCCAGAGGCTTCAAGGTCTGCCTTCAAGGTGAATCTGCTGACTGTTCGCCTTTCAGGGGCCAATAATGCACTCGACTGATTGAGCCAAGTGTGGTGAACGATAACGATACAATAAGCAGTCTAGCAGAAACCCCAACTGGCACAATGCGCCCCAGGTGCAAAATTACCTTCAGTGGCTATAAATCATCCGATCCTTTCCGCTCTCATCCTTTGCAAAGATGAAACAGATTAAAATCACCTTTCCCCAGTCTCATGTCCTCCAGATGTTCTGGACTACAACCCCCAACATTTCCAGCCAGGGATTATGGAGTTGCTGCCAGCACATCTGGAGTTCACAATGTTGGGAAAGGCGGTGCAGAGAAACCGAATGTTGCTCTCCAGCAGAACAGAACATGGTTGTTTATAGCATGTTTATGCAGAAAAATGTCCTACAGCTCTTCCCCAGCTGTGCATCCTTGGGGGGGTGCCCAAAATATATCGGAAGCCTGGGAGTCACCTGAGCTGCTGCTTCAGTCAGCCCACAGAGCGCCTTGGAAGCCACTCCGACACACTCGCCAAAGACGGGAAGGTCGCCGGTCTTGGCATTTTGAGAGATCCCGGCCATCGCCTCACCAAGCACCTTCAGAAAAAGGGAAATTTTCAAGGCTAGTCTCTCAGCATACTTAGCTGGATGGATGACAATCCTACTTAACATTACAGTGTCTCTATTAATAATCAGGGTTTGGTACCAGTGTTGTTATTAATAAAGGTAAAGGTTTCCCCTTGACGTGAAGTCCAGTCATGCCTGACTCTCGGGGGCGCTGCTCATCTCCGTTTCCTGGCCGAGGGAGCCAGCGCTTGTCCCCAGACAGTCTCCGTGGCCATGTGGCCTGCATGACTAGACACCAAGGTGCAGGAACGCTGTGACCTGCCCACCGAAGTGGCACCTTTTCATCTACTTGCATTTGCGTGCTTTCGAACTGCAAGGTTGGCAGGAGCTGGGACGGAGCAGCGGGAGCTCACCCCGTTGTGCAGGTTCGAACCGGCGACCTTTCGAACAACTACCCCAGCAGTACAGCTGTTTAAACCACTGCGCCACCTGTAGCCCGTTGTTATTGATACTTCCTTGTAAACACAAATAAATATTCATGTTTCGGATTGCCTGCTTTGTATCTGTAATCTTTGCAGCCTCCTTGCATTCCCTCAAAGCCGTCCGTGAGCTCCAGGTAAGTGGGATTTTATGTCAGAGTGTCCCGCTCCACCGTTCTGGGGCTGAAGGGTCTACATCTGTGCACAATGTCTATCAACATGCGCTCTGCTGAGATCCGTACCCTGCAGGTTTTTATCACCATGATCACGATCACTTTTGCTCCTATGCCACCCAGTGGCCAGAGCTTTCCCAGCAGCTTTTTCCTCTTGTGGGGAACCCAAGGTGGCTTCCAGAAACCTCTCCCTTGTATGTGAACAACACCCCTGTGAGGTACACTGGGCTGAGAGTTGGCGACTGGACCAAACTCTCCCAGGGGGTCTCATTCTGAGCAGGTCCTGGATCTCCCAGTCCTGCTCTACTGGTTTCCCACACAGCCTCGGGCAGGCTACTTCGGATACACCACCCACGATAAGATGGAGGAGGAGATGTAAGCTGCCTTGAGCTCTTTGTAGGAGAAAGGCAGGATATAAATCGAAAACTAACTAACTAACGATGGTGCTTTCCTAAAAGTTATAGACCTGCGGGGCTGGAAAGGACCAATGGCAGGATCTGCAATGCAGAACGAAGGTACAGCAGGCTTCCCAGTCCTGGTACGCTCCAAATGTTTTGGACTATAGTTCCCAGCACTCCTGACCCTTGGGCACGCAGGCATGGCCTGATGGGAGGGCTCCAGGTTGGGGAAGCCTAGGTGAATAGCCACACCTTCACCAGGTGGGCACCCAACTGCCACCTACATAATTCCCTCACCTCCCAAGAGAGCGTCTTTCCCTGACCGGAGGTGCCCTCCAGGTGTGTGGGACTACATCTCCCATGGTCCTCAGCCACACAGAGATGGCATGAGTTGTAGTCCAGCACATCAGAAGAATGCGCCAAGCTGTGCGAGGCAAAACAGGCGGCAGTGCTATGTCCGAGCGCGCATCACTAAGTGCTTCCTCCTTTGGAAGCTGGCCCTGGGGCCGGGACCACTTGCTCGCCCTGCGATGCGCCGGGGCCTTTGCTGGCCGAGACTGCACTCACGCGGCATGCGCCCCAGTGCGGCAGGCCGTGAAGGGAAGCACGGAAGAGGGTGGAGACACAACGCTACCTTGGAGTTTTCCATGACGCCTTCAATGCAGTCGAAGTAGGAGAGGTCGCTCACGGGCTCGTTGGGGTTTTCCAGCATCTCTTTCACCGTCTGAAAGAGAGAGCCAGTGTGGTGCAGTGGTTAGAGCACGGGACCGGGACTCAGGTGACCTGGGTTCGAGTCCCCGCTCGGTCACGGAGCCAACTGGGTGAACTGGGCCAGTCACAGACTCTCAGCCCAGCCTACCTCACAGGGTTGTTGTGGTGGGGAGAAGATGGAGGAGGAGAAGGATGTCAGCTGCCTTGGGCCCTTTGTAGGAAAAAGGCAGGATATAAATCGGAAAATAAATAAATAAAATAAAACTGTGCGGCCAGCGATGAGCAGTATGACTGGACCCCTAGAATGGCATACCATGTGCCACGCTTGGGCTAGACCCCGGCGGGTAGCAAAGCCAGCCAAATTACAGTCTGGCATATCTGGGGACTGCCAGGCCGGGAAAAGGCTGCCCAGATTCTTTGCGACTAAATCGGTGCATCTAGGCTCAGGGAGAGAGATATTAAATCGGTTGCTTCTGAAGGTCTTTTTGCTGCTGCTCTTTTGGAAGTCATCATTCAGTTGTTTTGGTGGGTTATGTTTTTGCATCATTGAATGGTATTTTTCATGTTTGTACCTTGCATTGTGTAATTTATGTGGGATATTTCTACCCCGTCCAATCACTATGCCTCTCTGTCCTTTGTCCGGAAAAGCACCACCTAAACAAGGTGGCCATTTTCAACCTTCTCCAACCAGGAGCCTTTCCTTTCCTTTCCAAAGGACGTCTGTGAGGGCTCAAACATAGGCAAGCTTAGACCAAACAAAGAACTTGCAACACCATCCTGAGACCCTAGTGGTGGATGGGGTAGAAAAGCTTTTAATACATACATACATGCATGCATGCATGCATACACAATAGATGCACAGGGGCCTCACTCTTTTGTCTAAACTTGCAAACAAGAGGAATGAGGTGCGCATGTCAAGAGCCCAGACATATTGCGTGAGAAATTGAGAGACCCTGTCGCCAGCGCATGTTGATTGGAACTGTTTGCAAGACTTTGCTTCCTAAGTAAATGCATTTTGGGGGCATTCACAAAAGCAGTCCATTGTCTCCAAGACTTGCTTCGACTACAAAGTTCCCCAATCGGGTATCCCTCATCCACCCGTTACTGGAATGGGATCTTTATTGATGAACTATATTCATGGCCCATCTTGTTCCCAGCAACAATCCCAAGGTGGCTTATCCATTCCTCCTCCTCACAACAACCTTGTGAGGTAGGCTAGGCAGAGACTCAGTGACTAGCCCAAAGTTACCCAGGGAACTTCAGGGCTGAGTGGGGATTAGAAGCTGGCTCTCCTGAGTCCCAGTCCAGCCCTCTAACCATTGCGCCCCGTTAACCGAGATGCAATCCAGAATGTTCTTCTGCTTGTGCTAATGAGCATCACGATGCACCCTGCAAGTTAATGCAAATCCGTGCTAATATGCGTCATCTAATACGCAATAATGAATTAGCACCCCCTTTGCAAAAGCCACTCTGCAAATCTGAAGCGTCTGCATGAGCTGGAGAAAGCCACTCTGCGGTGGCATCTGCAGGGCAGATTCCGTGAAACTTGAACCCCTTCGAGTCCAGTGCAGGGTCCCCGGCTGCCCCCGTTCCCACTAGCCTTCCCCAGGAAGAGGCTGCCTCCCGCCCGCCTGCATACCTCCAGTTCCCGCAGAGCATTGTCACACTCCTTCTGCCCAGGGGCCTGCTGCGTACACAGGGTGATGAGCTGGTTGATGCTCTCGGTCACCGCCCTGGAGAGGAGGAGAACACTCCTGAGAAAGGTGCCCAGGGCCAGGCGCCATCACAGCCTTGGCTCGCGTCCGGATGCGGCTTTCCCAGCCGGCACACACAGCCGTTCCCAACAATGGAGAGGAAAAAATTACGGCAAACACGAAGCCCAAAGAGCAAGTATCAGCACTGGGGGCCCTGCCCCGTGATGGGATGGAAACGCCCCGAGGCTGCTCTCCCCTCAGCTGGTAGGAGCATTGATGGTGATACTCTAAGCATGGCAACCGGATATTTGCAACGGAGGAAGGCAAACTTTATCATGGTGAAAATCACGATGGCAGTTTCCTCGATTTAAGTTGGGTCTCTTAGTTGTTATGCATATTTTGCATGTGTATGGGTGCCGAGGTTCTTGAGCAGACATATTTAAATTCTTCCTAGCAGCCCTCAAAGAAATAATTCAGTAAAAGGCCACGGTGAGGCAAACAAATGAATGTCTTTCTCCCATCATCCATCCAGCAAAAAACGAAGAATCATAAAGCACAACTCTGTGCCGTATCCTTCTTGGGGAAAAACCCAAGAGCTAAAAAAGGCAAAATTCCTTTATTTCGGAGCTACACTCTCTGAGAGCCTTTGGTCCGGTCTCCATCAGGAGATTTTGCATTGTGCAGGGAGATGGCAGCAAACATCCAGCTTTGCGGGAGACACAGGGAGAGGCCGGTGCACTTCTGTCAGTTTCTCACATTTCTCCTCCCATTCCTTTCCATTTGGGCCAACGGAAGACAGTGACACTGTGAAAGGGACACTGGGGGAAAACAATCAAGAATCCACTCCCACCCTAAAAAGCAGGACGGCACCGGCCCTTACCTTGCGGCCGCCGCTAAAAGATTCTTGGCATTGGGTGCCCCTGGGTCCACCGAGAGAGACTTGGCAGCCAGAAGCAGCTTGCTGGAAGCCATAGAGATATTTTTCAGGTTTCCTATTACTTGTATCTGGTCCTCTTTAGTCTGCAAGGCCAAAGGGGCAAACCATGGGAAAGGTTAAGGGCAGGAGGCGCGAAAGCGGCCACAACACAACATGCTGAGTCTGCATCTCCAAGCCGCCGCCGTTAGGAGCCCGAGGGAAGAGGAAGGAAAGGACAGAGCGCAGTGCTGCATTCCTCTTTGTGCCACGGGCAAAGCAGCAAGTTGCCTCCAACAATAGGAGCCTTCACGGGGGGGGGGGGGGGGGAAGGAGAGGGGCAGGCTCGGCAAATGTCTGCGAGACAAGGCGCTGGTTTCCCTGCCCGGCTGTGCCTGGCACAACGGACGGCCGGGCACAGAGCAGCGCCGGCAGCTCCCGCTGCACCGTGAGCCAGGCAGAAAATTCCTCCTGCACCCTGGGGCTGCAGCTAATCCGTGCGTCTCCCCTGCAAGGGGCTAATTAGCACATCGTTTCCATGAATCGACCAGGGTGGCCAGCTGCGGCGGGTGGCCAGGGCAGGAGTTACGTGGGGAAGCCTGCTGGAGAGGGATGGGTTACTCTTCCCTGCTTCACGTCCCGAGAGGTTTTGCAGACTCCGAGTCTGAAGGGCCTGGGCCCGGGGCCCCCAGTCATGCCCCGTTGCTGGAGGGGAGGAGAGGTGCTGGATGGTGGGCGGAGGAAGGGATGCTTTGAAATTGGCCACGTGGCTCAGCTTGAGCCTGGAAGGAGCCAGAAGGGCAGTGGCAGAGAAATGCTTTTGATGGGCTTCTCTGATGGGCTATGCTTTGATGGGGCGCTGAGAAGGGCTTCCCAGAGGAAGAGGCCTTTGGCAGAAAGCCGGGGCTCTCTCCTCTGAGAAGACGCGTCCTGCAGCCCCACAGGTTCTTGCAAACCTGCTTGCGCCATGCTTTGGGGCAGCCAGACTATGCCTGGGACTGTAGACAGGACGCACCCTGCAGGTTAGGAACGCACCCCACTTCCGACCCCCAAGTGGCCATCAACCCCCAAATGGAGAACGGCGATGGAATGCGCGCGGGGAGCGACCCTCACCTGAGCTTGCCCAGCCATTTCGATCCCCGCGTCGAGGAACTCGTCAAAGTCCTCGCTGAACTTTCCGGAAGCGGCCGCCAGCTCCCCGCTCTGGCCCCGGGTCGCATGGACGACCTCCCCCGCCGACTGGTTCAGATCCGCCGCGGCCTGGTTGAGCTCGCTCTGGGCTGCTTGGAAGGATTTGGAGCTGAGGGGCAGCTTCGCGGGGCAAGAGGGGAAGAGAAGTCCTCTGGATAATTGCGTCTTTCCGACGTAGCCTCGGGCACGGGCATGCTGGCCCTTCCAAGGCATCAAGCCCGGAACGCTTAAGACATGAAGTGCGGCCCGGGGGAGATAACCAGGGAAGGGGTGAAGGAAACAGGGGAACAGGGGACCACTCCAGCCACCCAGAACGAGGCTTATTTATGGCAGGATATAAGGACAGAGGGGTGGTACGGACCGCACAGACTTGGCGTAAAGGTGCTCAGACTTGTTCTGTGACATGCCCTGGAACGAGGCGGGAGTCGGCTGGGCCGCTTCCGAACCTAGTCCATTTTGGACTAAGTCTCCGAGCAAGAGGTCCTCCTGAGACAGGCTCTTATTTCCACGCTTTGCTCAAGTCTGAGCAGGCACTGCATTTTTATAAAAGCACTCATTGCCTTTGGGAATAACAATATTGTTAGAGATAAAGGACGACGTGTTTGTAAAAGCACCTCACCGATTCCACGAGCAATTTTTTGCTGGATTCCCCGATGCTCTTCAGAGCCACATCGACGTCCTTCTGGCCGGGGAGGCAGTTCACACAATTGTTCAGCGAGTGAGACACCGCCTTGGCCACCTTTGGGGGAAGACACGTGCATCGTGACGGAGAGGAACCCCCAAATGCCGCCCACCAACTCTGAGCAGATCCCCTTCCCTACCAAGTTCCTACAAGTCACGCTAAGGGATTTATGGGATGTTAGTTTCACTTTGTTTTGGAGCAAGAGTTGCCCTGTTTGGCCTCTTCCAGGCAAAACGTGGACAGAGGCACTCCCTGTGATCAAAGCCTATACATTCAAAGCCAGCACGGTGATGAACAGACCCAAACAATTGCGTCTGACAGCATGCAAAGGGTTGGAAAACACGCCGATCTACAGTTTAATCCGTGGGAGAAGAATGCAGAGATTTCAAAGATGCGCCTCGGCTGAAAAACAAGGCTTGTAACCTGCTGTGCATGAGAGCTGGAAGGAGCTTCCAGATGCTGTTTGGAGGTGCTTGCTGAGCTCGAGTCTTGCTGGTCCGTGCATCCCTAGCCAGGCCCAGGTTCTCCGAGAAGCAGCGAAGGAACAGGACTCTGCGGCCACCAGCCCTTCCATCTCGCCTTACTGGTTTATTACCTTTACTTCTTCCTGTTCTGCGTCTTTGCTGTATTTATATTGTATTTTAATCCTATTTGTTTACGGGTTTGGTTCGCTATGGTTATTTATTTTTATTTGTATTTTGTATTGCACTGTGAGCCACCCAGAGACGTGGTGGCATACAAATGCAAAAAACAAATAAAATAAAATAAAATAATGAGCAAGCGGCTGTGCTCTTTGGCAGCAGGTGGTGCCCAGAAGCTGTGGGCCTGCCTTCCCCATCACGGTGCCCCCCAACCCGCTGGCTGACAAGCCGGGTGCCCCGCTGCCCTGGAGGCCTGGAGGCTGCGCCACTCACCTGGGCCAGCCTCTGCTGGCTTTCGGCATCGCCCGGTGCCACGAGGGCCTGCTTCGCTTCCTGGATGAGCATGGCTGAGCCCTCCATCACATCCCGTGCCGAGTCCAGCATGGCATGCGCGGCCGCTGGGTCGCTGGTCGATGCGGCCACCCCCCGGGCAGCCTGGGCCAGCGTCTTCAGCGCCTGAGCAGTCTCCCTGGCTGCGACCCCTGCACACAAGCGTAGTTGCCATGTTTCTAGACGGCCCGGTAGCCAAGCTGCCCCAAGCCCAGAATTACTAGACGCAGCGGTGGCCACCTTCACCTTCCGGGAGAAGCCCTCTTGCATTTGACAGGCAATGTGAGGAAGATCACCCTGGCTTCTAGGAAAGCTCCCAAGTCCAGGCAGAAACCCTCATGGCTGCCCGAGTCTGTCTGGCTTTATCTTAACCTGCCTCTCTTGTTTTCCTGCAGCAGAAGCACTCATTCTGCTTTCAAATCCTGCGTTTCTGCAACCTCTCCTCGACTAGTTCATCACAGAATGGCGAGATTCCCGGAGGAGACTCCCTCTGCCTGCCTCTCACCTGCCTGCCTCTGATTCCACCGACCCCCTTTGCCTCTCCTGGCATGGAACCCATTTCTCATCAAGAATAAAAGCAGAGATTCAGAGAGTTTGGAGGCTCACAGAAGCTGTCCAAGGGGCATTTGCAGCCCTGCTTCGAGCAGCCGGTGCCCACGGCACACTACAAAGCGCTCTTGCAATGCACCATCTTTGAAATGTGGAGGGGCGGCAGGCTGTGCGAACGCAGGGCGAAGCTTCCTTGGGATCGTGGTGCTGGTCCTTGGGATCCTAGCCACTGAGGGTCCCTGGCCCGGGGGGTGGGAAGCCGGCCCTCAGCCCCCGACAGCCTCAGATGGAGGCGGCCTCGCACGCAGAGGAGAGGGAACAGCCAAATGCAAGGTCACTGTTTTGCTTCCAGGCACGCAGGCTGCAGCATCAAGAGCACTGCTCCGGCACAGCTGCCTTCCACAGCATAAACATTTACACTGGAAAAAAGCCTTTACGCTTGCAGCCTAACAAATGTCAGAACCACCCTTCCAATGTCACGGACTGCTAATCCTGTTCTTCTTTTGCAAGCAAGCCCAAGGCTGAGAAGGGCGACCCTATCCCAGCCTCCTTGCAAGTAAGCCGGCTGCACGTTGGCTCTGCTCCAGGCTGCGTGTTCCTGTGCTTCCAGGCAGGGGGATCGTGGCAACGCCCACATGTTGCCGGCTGCTGGTGGGCCTATCCAGCCAAGTAATGGGCGTCCATTAGGAGCTGGTGCTGGCCAACAGAGATGCTCTTCCCTGCAGCCCTCCGCACTGCCCGGCAGCGCTTCCCGAACGGGAGAGGGCTTTCATTCTGGTTTTGAACAAACTGCATTAATGGAACTCCAGAGTGCTGCAGGGTCTGGCCGGACGGCAAAGGCCAGCTCTGATGAGCCAAGACAGCGTAACTTGAAAAGCCGAGCCCTCCTAATCCAGCTAAGCCGCTTCAGAACTGAAGCGCGACTGACACCTGGGGCGCATTAGCAAGGGGAGCGTTGCTCTAAGGAGCTTTAGCGACTGGATTTGGAAGTCCCCTCCTGGACTAGCCTAGAAGAAAGGCCGCAACGGGCAGAAGGTGTTCTAATCGCTCCATGAGCCTTTGCTGTCAGACGCGCCACTCTTCCCAGGCAAGGCCGGCTTGTCTATCCTGGTCACCAAGACCTCGCTGTCCTTTTACAGAATGGAACACTGTAACCCCTGCACCAGGCTTGCCACCAAGAAACCGAGAATCCTTCAGTTTGTCACTTGCTTCTGTAATTCAGACAGCTGCTAAGGGTGGCCAGCCGGCTGTCGGAGCTCAACACACGGAGGGGGGAGCACAGCTCGGGGACGTCACCCGGCCGGTGGCTGCATCCAGTGCAGACAAGTAGGACAGGGAAAGGGCTGCCGCTAGCCGGGCCGACGGGAGGGCTCAGCTGAGCTGCAAAGAGCCACAGACAGGAGGTGGCCCCACAAACGACGGAAAAAGAGGAGGCAAGTTCAGGAGCCAAATTATTTATCGATGAGGCCCAACGGGTCTTGGGAATTCTTCCTGGTAAGCTTGTTTTCACCAGTGCACTGGACACTATGCCTGGGGTTCCTGGAATATCCCGATAAATGCTTTTGCTGTACCCGGAAATTCCTCCCTTTTTCCTGGCTGGAGGGAGCACAGCCTCAGCCAGAGAAAGCCCCTTCTCTTGGAGCTCTCCCTGCTGCAGGGAAGGGCAAGGAGGCACCTAGACACAGCAAGCCCTCCTCACCCTGCGCCTTCACCCCGTTGGATCTGGGACCGTCACGAAGGAACCCACAGGGCACCTCCTCCGCAGGTCTACACTCACTGAAAATCTTCCCGTATCGCCATAGGGGCCTCTCCAGCGGCAACATCAAACACATTTGCATGTTGCCCAAGAGCAACCTTCTCCAGCAGCATCTCCTGGGCCTCCACCAAGAGAAACCGTCTGGATGCATCCCTCCCCGGGAAGCACAGCACTCCGGCTGACTCCAGTCGGCAGCCCCAGCCTCCTCAGGAAGGAAGAACACCTGGGCAGCCATGGAGCATCGCTGAGAAGGTGCGCTGCATCCCATGGTGGTCCTACCGGGAGCAGAGAGCAAAATGAATGGGGCTCAGGCCAGCACTGCATGCAATCCCTGGATGCCGGTTCAGGTGCGGCGTGTGTGCTTAGTGCGGCTAAATGCTCACTATTCGCAATGCTGTTGGTTCATATGGATATTTGTGTGCTGTTTGCGGCCTGGCCTGGCCTCCTTTTAAAGCAAAGAGGAAACAAGAACCACATCAGAGCCCTTTGTGCTTCTCGGTGCGTTTGCTGCAGCTGAAAAGCAGCAACGACAAAGGCGATCTTTTCCTGGCCAGCTGACTCGTACCTGTGTAATGCTCGTTGCCTTGGGCCGCGCAGGTCAACAGCTGGGCCATCGAGGATCCCACGGCCTTGGAGGTGCTTCCCAGGTCCTGAGCGCACTTTTCGAGCTGAGGGGGGGAAAAGTCCTGCTAGCGTCGCCCGGCAAGGACAGGCAGCGCTCGGCATCGACCCGCCGGTACAAGCACAACGTAAACACAAGGCTGCCCGGAGGAACCGGCAGACCCGGGATCAAAGCTGCCCACCCCCTCCTGCTCCACGTCTCCGGCCCTGCCACCCGGCAGGTGCCCCGGTTTCGGCACCTGAGGAAGACCTGCTTCGTGCTCTCAGCTCTAGCGCTGCCAAGTCCACATTTTGGTACGGGCAGGTTTGCTGCATTAAGCACAGTTTTATGGCCTCGGGTCCCATCCCGCCCCACCAGCGGCCCCCAGGAGGGCAGCGCTGGGGGTGCTCAGAGCAGCATCGGGACACCGGTTCGGGGACGGCTGCATCGTGGCCTCAAGCGGCAGGTCAATGACCTGGAACGCGCCAGGTTCTACACAGGAAATACACACAGGTAGCCTGCTCTGGTCTGCTTGACGAAGCCCAGCAATGGCCCGCCCGGCTCCCCGGCTCTGCAGGTTACCGTTTCTCCCGGAAGAGGCTTCAGCTGCCCGTCCATGGCCGTCATCTTGGCATCCTGCAGCTCATTCTTGAGCGTCTGGACGGTGTTCAGGGCAGAATCGATCTCCATGGGCCCGCACGCTTCGTGCGCCTGCACACAAGGCAGAGGAGCCCTCAGGTGCGGTTCTTCCGGAGCAGCGGTCCAGGCCCGGCCCCTGGCAGCAACATGCGCCCCCTTCCACGGGCTCCTCCGGCCCTGGAGGGCCGCTGTGAGGACAGCAGACGCAACGGCACGGGGACGGACCCCCGCGGCGACCGCCTGCCCAGGGGGGCCGTTCCGACCTTCAGCTCCTGAGCCCACGTGGTGCTGAGCGACCACACATGCCACCCCAACGGCAGGAAGGGACCCACTGCACTCCTCAAAGCGAGGTGCAGGGGACCAGCCCCTGGGGCATTCCAAGCTGGCCACCGGCAGTTCCAGTCCGGCTCCCACACCCCCTCCCCATCCGTTCGGCAGTTCCCTGGCTTTGGCAGCGCCTCTCCCACCCCCCGGGAGGTTCAAATGCCCCTCCTCAGTCCAAGTGACCGGCATGATGCCCCTGATGTTGCTGCATCTCTGCCCCCACCCTGTGGCCTTCGACCCACCCAATTTGGAAAGCGGCCCCAAGAGCTTCTCCACAAGGAATGTGGCTCTCTGGGGTGCGAGAGGACCAGCGCCCTGCTCTAAAGGGGCAGGCCCACCCATCTTGGGGGGCCAGTGTTCGGAGAATGCACAGCCCCCCAGTAAAGGAGCTACGTTTGTCCAGAAGGCCCCCTGCAACCACTGCCCTCGCTGCTCCCAGCACCCCGGGGGCTTGCGGAGAGACCCCCTGCAAGGAGAGGAGGTCTCAGCACCGCGCAGGCCGAGGAGTGCAGGCGTGTGGAGGAGCAGGCCTTGGGGACTGGCCTCGGGGCAGGCAGCGGTCACCCCAGGGCAGACGCGCCCCGAACGGGCGAGGAGGGCCCCCCCTACCTTCTGGGAGGCGGTCCTCAGCTCGGCGAGGCTGGTGGCCAGGTTCTTGGCGCATTGGCTCAGCTGCATGGCCGCAGCCTGGTCGGTCACCGTGGGCACCGCCGCCTTGGCGGAGGCGACCATCTTGCTCCCCGGCTGTGGAGAGAGCAGCAGAGAGGCGGGCGCGTCCCCAAGTGCCGGCGAGCCCACAGACCTTGCCTGTGCGGCACCAGCACGCAGGGAAATGCTGCGGGGGGCGCAGGACCCTCCGCCAGCCCCAGCCCCTTCCCCAACCGTTCCTCCTCCTCCCGTTTCCTCACTTTGGTGCAGCCTTTTCCCTTTTCTCAATGGTGAAAATGCCCCTGCTAAGGGCTTGCGAGTGGCAGCCTTAGGCCAAAGGAAGAGAAAATGTGTTTTTGGCATTTGGGTGTTCAGAGCCCTGCCCCCTCCTGCCTTCGGATTGTCTCACCCAAGAGCCTCTCCAAAGTGGAATTCGGCCTTGGGCTGAAAACTACTGCGAGGAGTTCCTCCCCTGCCCCAGTCAGAGTTTCCCCAAATCATCTGCGGTCATTATGGTTAGTCATTTATCTATCCTGGATTATCTGCTATCTGATTATCTATTATTCTTATGTCTTTGCCGACTTCAGCCATTTCACCGTTCTCAGAGCTCCATGCTAACGAACAGCATATAAATGCCCAAATCAAGAAATAAATCTGTAGCGGCAGGACAATTACTTCTGTCCCCTCGCACCGCCCAGTTTCTCCGAATCGCCAGTATCATTAGGTGCTGGCGTCTGGTCCCAAAAGCTGCAGGAAAGGGTCTCTTCCAGGGTATCCCTCCTCCCCAGCCGGGCTTCCAACATTCTGCACAAGTGCTTAATGCAAAGCGTGTCAGGTGAGCTGAGCTGAGTCGGGCCAGGCGGCTCGGCTCGGCTCGGCTCCCGCGTCCCCCGCGAGGCGACGGCACCTGCAGGAAGTTCTGGCTGGAGTTGATCAAGGCGAGCTGGGCACTCAGGTCCTCGGCCTGCGCTTGGCTGCCCCTCACACCCTGCACGAGCTGCGGGATGTGGTCCGCGACGTTCTGCGGGGAAGAGGAAGTGGGAACGGTGGGGGGTGAGTCAAGAGGGAGCGGCCGGCCGGCAGCAGTGGGGAAATTTGGGGGCCGCACGCCCTGCCCCACGCTTCTCCAGACTGCTGCTGCTCTTCTCTTGGGCTTTGCTTGGCTCCTCGGACGCCGATGCGCTGGCCTCCCTCGGCCCTTTCTAGCCGTTTTTGCACCCCGTCCGGCCCGAGACCGACCTGCGACCCAAGCGCGACTCGGGCGACCCTCCCTGAAACGGGATCTGGGTCTGGAAGGGGTGCAGCCACCCTGGTCGACGACCTTGCCAGTGCTGTGCCAGCCAAGCTGCTCGGTTGCATCGCTTGTTCACCTGCCTTTCTCCCTCTGGCAAGGAGCCCAGGATGCGTTGTGCTCCTCCTCTCCATTTTTTCCTTACAACAACAACCCTGCAAGGTGGGTCAGGATGAAGGTCCCTGACTGGCCCAGAGTCACCTGGTGAGCTCCATGGCTGAGCGGGGCTGAGAACCAGGACTTCTGGGTCCCAGTCCCACACTCTAACCACTATACCACACCACCTCCCAAAACTAAAACAAAACAACAATGAACACAACTGCTTTCTCCGCCTGTAAACAGCGCAGTTCCGTTGGGATGCAAGCCTGATCAAGGAGCATGCGCAGAATGCACAACCACACCCGTCAGTGAGGGGTTCGTAAGCTCCCCGCACGTCACAGCCATCCCTGGATGGCGGAGCTAGTCTACCGCCAAGGATCTGAACGGAGCCTCGGGCAGTGGAGTGCGGCCATGCGCACACAAGCGGTCCAACCGGTGGCTCCCCTCCCCTGTCATGCAACGTCTGATTTTCACAGCTCGGCCAGGTTTGGTGTCGGCCTGAAAAGCTTGTGCTTCCGCGGCTCAGGCAGCCTCCGGCAGAGACCGGCAGGGGGCGGGAGGATGACACAACGCTGCTTCCGCAGCAGCTGTGAGCTCATCCGACAGATCTGGCTGGCCGTGCATGGCTTTCAAAGCACCCGGGGAGCAGAGAGAACTGTGGAGCCGGCCTGCATCAGCGACACATCCAGCCCCGAGAGCTTATAAGCACGCATCCAGGGTGTTTCGCCCCCCTGCACGCACACGCCTCCCTCCGGCTCCACTCTGAGCCATTTGTCTGGAATGAGGGCACGCCTCAGGCACACAAAAACGCTTCTCTTTCACACACGCACGGACAGACTGCGGCAGCAGCAGCACCTCACACTTTCCATCCGGTCATTCCTTGGAAAAAGCAGCCTGCCTCACCCTTCAGGCAAAGAAACAACATTTGGGATGACCCCGGTGGGGAGAGGGCAGGCCCTGCTTATCTGGTTCGGGCTGCAGATCGTCCGGGCTGCCTCTACCGCGGCCGGCCAGCAGGGGGCCAGGCAGCACCGCCAGCAGGCCGTGGCCCCCCACTGCCCAGGGATGCGCGGCCGGAGAGCGTGCGGAGCCGGTTTCGCTCTCGTGGCTCCCAGCCAGTGCAGAGAAGAGTGTCGGGCCAGTACCAGGGCATGAGTCCCTGCCGGGCCATGAAGCTCAGAGGGTGACTTGCAGCTGGCACTGCCTCTCAGCCTCACAGGGTTGTTGTTGTTGTGAGGATAAAACGGGGCAGAGGAAGGTCCTGAAAGCTGCCTCATGTTCCTTGCAAGAGGAGAAAAAAGTGGGATATAAATGTGACAGTAATAAACACACAAGGAACAGCCACTCCTTGTCCACAGGGAGGACCGCTGGTACGTTTCCAGGGTGTTCATGATTTTCAAGGTTCTAGTTCCTAAGGTCTTGAAGATATGCTTGGAAGTGCACAGCCCAGGCCTAGCATGACACCAGAAACCCAGGGGAGGCTGGAGAAGATTTCCAGTGGCCAGGACTGGGGAGTGCCAAGGGTCTGATGGGACATGTTGCCTCCACATGCTGCCTCTGGGCTGAGAAATCTGCCCAGCCTGTGGCACACTCCAGCCTGCTGAGCGGGTGCATTCCAGGCGTTGAGGTTCAGCCAAGGTGGGAAGAGAGTTGCTTAGAAAGAGAGGCAATTGCGTGGTTGAGGAGCCCTTCTTTCCTGGCAGGCCATGCAGTTGTGCAAGGGAAAAACGGTGGCCTCGGCATGACGGCTGGGTGGCTGGGGGGCAGGGGGACTCCTCTCTGTCTGGACTCAGATCTTTGCAGCATGATGGGCAATACAGTGCTAAGCCCGAGCAAAGGAGCTGCCAAGGGCAGAGAGCTGCCTGTCATGAAAGTTTCAACCTGCGCAGGGCCAGGAATCACGCTCAGGGGAGTGGGGCTGTCTGGCCCCCGCCGCTCGCCGCTGAGCTACCTTGCAGCTTTGGACCAGATGCTGGTGCGCTGCCGTGTTCTTGTTCGAGAGGGCGGCATTCTGCGAGGCTGCGATGGTCTGTGTGGCGGCGGCCGCGGCTTGCTTGGCAGCAACCTGGAAGCAGAAACACTTTGAGCAGCCTAGGCCAGGAATGGCGGGGGGGACACGCAGAGACATTTTACAGCCCCCCCCCCCCACCCCGGCAGTAGAAGTCATTTTGGCATGTTTTAAAGCAGGGTGTCCAACCTTTTGGCTTCTCTGGGCCACACTGGGAGACAAAGAATTGTCTTGGGCCGCATATTAAATATACAAACACGAATGAAAATGGTGAGCATAAAAAGGGTCTTTGCATAATGTTTGTGGTATTCGCCACCACAGATTAGCAAAAAAGTCCTCACACAATAATCCTAAGGGAGTATGCATGTGTTTATTTTGTGACATTGGGACACGATATTGTTCATGTTGAAGAACCACACAATCGAGTTCCAAAAAAACTGCAAAAAAACTCATAATGTTTTAAGTAAGTTTACGATTTTGTGCTGGGCTAGAACATAGCCATCCCGGGCTGCATGTGACCCACGGGCCGTGGGTTGGACACCTGTTTTAAAGGATACTGGCACGCGTTTGCAGCCACCATCCCAAACTTGGTGCTTCCATCGCCCCGATTTCCATCGTCCCCCAGCCAACAGGGCCGCCCCCGAAACACAATATGCTGGGAGACGACTGGAAGAAAAGCCCTGATCAGACCGGGGGCCACCCAGTCCAGCGGCACGTACACACAATGGCAAACCAGTTGGCCACAGGATGGGTGCAAGACCTCTGCCTGGCTGGGCTCCTCAGCAACGGGTGCACGGCTCTGGTGAAGGAGGCATGAACCCCGAGCCTCCCCAGATACCGGGCTGCCAAGCTGGGAGACCTGGCAGAAAGGAAGAACTCACGGAAGGAGTTCAGGCACGAGATGGAAAGGCCCAGATCAAAACAGGGCAGGGAACACGCCCCCCTTTTATTGCCACTGCTGGATTTACCCGGCCGTTCATGCCGGACTCCTCCTTGGATTATTTTTCTGCTACTCCCGGGCTGCGTTCCTACGGCTGGACACGAGAGTGCGCTCACAGGTCAGTGAGAGGGAGCCTGGGAGGCACGTCTTCCGTGTGGTTTTTGTGCTACATGCCCAGGGAAAAAACCACTGGCCAAGCTGTTTGGTCTGATTCCAAATTAGCAGAACGAGGGGCATCTCTGGCCAAGTTCTCACCTCCAGTCGGTTCACAATTTTCTTCTTGATGGCGTTCTGGGCAGCGGCGTTGGTGGCCACCCGCAAGCCTTCAGCCGCTTCTCGGAGCCTCTGCTGCTGGTCCTCGTTTTCCGGATTGGCTGCAGCTCCCTGCAGAATCAGGCCCACACACAAAACAAAAGCCGGCAGAGAGCTCAGGGCTGCGGTTCTGCGAGCAGGGAGAGCTGCAGCTGCTGTTTAGCTCACACGGCTGTGCTCCAGAGCAACTGTACCCAGGAGCTGGGAGACCCGCTGGGCAGGACGGCCAGGAGCCAGGCTGGCTAGGAATGATGGGGGGCACAGGTCTGGGAAGACCTCGGCTGCCGTCTCTGCTTGTGAGGAAAAGCACCAGCAGGGCTCTCCATACGCTTCATGCAGCACCTGCCCCGTCCAGCGGTCCGACGTGCCTTCTGGGAAGGAAGCACCACTGGGCTAGACTGGCTTTCCTGGGGTGGGACCTCAAGGAACCCCTCAGCCTCGTACCCCCCACCCCCATGAGCTCCCAGTCTGGGAAGTCCCAGGCATGGGGGTTCAGGCCCACAATTAGCAACCAGGAGAATACAAACCATATTGCCGATTCGGGCATGGAATGGGGCCAGTGTCCTTTTTAAATGCGTGCAGCTTTCATGTATGTTTCTACCAGCAGGGAAGAGCAGCTCGCTACGGCACACTGAACGCAAGGTTAATCTGCAGCACTGAAACAGCCTCTGCCTGTTGCCTTTATCTTTCTGGAGGGCAGCCTGCCAAGTCTGCTCATTGCATGATTTCTCATACAAATGGACTCATTTCGTAAGAGAACTTTATGAGCAGGATATGGAAGGAACACAGCTTTCGTTCCCCCAAAGAAAATGAAACGGAAAGGCACGAGAAGCATTGTTGGCAAAACTGTCGGAACTCAATTTGCTTGAGATACCCTTTCGTGAAGAAGGTCAACTTCAACCATCTCCGCAAAGACATCCCAAGGAATTCCCCCACTCCCTTCATCCTTGTGACTTGGGTACCTTTGCAGCCTCAACCATCCGGGCTGTTGAGTCGGCCAGAAGTTTTGCAGCAGCCAAAAGTTTCTTGGAATTCTCCATGTCGATTTCCGCCTCCGCATCTGACCTCATGGCGTTCACGAGATCCGAGGTCGCTTGAGCTAGGACCCTGGCCTGCCGTACCATTTCACCTACAACAGTGTTAAGTTCAAGACCTGCTTTTTATCTCTCCTTTCTCTCTCGCTGTCCTGTCCGGGCAGCAACCTGTCTTCCCGGATGGGCTCTGGCAAGGCACAAGCTTCACTGGGCAGGGGGCCAAAGGCACAGGTAGGCACCGTCGGGCCACTGTCAAGGGCCCAGGCCGGAAGACTGGGACGAGGGATCTGCCGACACTGTGAAATCTGGCCCAATGGAGCCCTAAGGGTTACTCAACCCCGCCGGAATTCTTGGCATTTGTTGCGCGTCAGCTGTGCAACAGCCCGGATCAGTCAGGGGAAGCGTGTTTGGAGCGAGCCCCGTCCCCACCTGCCCGGCTCCTGGCTGAGGACAAGTTCAAGCAGCTCACCAGCATCGCCCATGGAGCTGAAGATGCTCTCGGTGACGCACATAATCGTGTCCGTGGCCTGGTCGTAGCGCCCGATGGGCTCCCCGCGGCTGGCGAACTGGCGGACGTGCTGGAGGAGGTCGCTCAGGGCCTGGCTCACCACGCTGGCCGCGGCGCTGACCTGCTTGAGCAGCTCCGTGTCGTCCGTGGCCGCCTGGCAGGCTCGGACGCAGTTGTCCACCGAGCGGTCCACCAGCTTGCCTGCCTCGATCAGCTGCTCCTGGCAGACCGGGGAGCTGATGGTGGGACTCACCACCTGCGGGGAGACACAGGCCGCCATGTCGTGTGCCGCATTCCCTTCTTAGCCTGCCTGCACTGCACAGTGGGCCTCGCTCTCACTTTGTCCTCCGACCACCTGCAGGCTCGGCCAGAGGTCACCTGCGGACGTCAGGGCCCTGGAGTGGCTTGGACTGAAACTCTGCCCTGGCCTGAAAACGAGCTGATGACCTGCATCGTTTCCCTGAGGCCGAATCAGCACGGGCCAACCGAGAGTGGCCAGCGGCCACCTGCCAGGGACGTGGGAGCTGCACCCAGCCCTGAGACCCTGCCTTTGGAAGGGGCTCCAAAAGGAGAACCCCACGGTCCCTTCCGACTCTGAACTGCATGGTTTGATGGCCCTGGACAGGGAGAGCTCCGTCTCCCATGGGAAGGAAGCAGAAGCTCCCTGTCCCCTGGGATGGATCCAGTGGCCCTTCTGCACAAGAAGGTCCTACGTCATTCACTCCAGACGCTGCTCTGACCACACAACCAGGCCAGGGTCTGTTCCCACCAAAGCTCTGCCCACGAGCAACCACGGCCGGGAGCCCCCAGGAGTCCCCCGAGCCATACCTTCGCGCAGGCTACGAGCTGAGAGGTGGAGAGCGCGCACTGCGTGGCAGCCGCGATCACCCGGTTCTGCAGGACTGCGTCCTCAGCCACCTGGGCCACGTTCTTGGCCTTCAGCACCAGCATGGCGGCGGCGTTGGCGACCGCTTTGGCAAGGCTCATCAGCACATCCTGGGGAAGAGAAGGAGCCGAATCAGGGAGAATGGGAAGCAAAAAGAAAGCACCGCGAGGCTCTCCAACACAGACTGGACGTCTTTCACGCTCTGAAAGCGAAAAGTCAAAGCGGGCTTGGTTGACAATGATGCGAAGTTTGGTTGCGATGTTTTTGTTTTGCTGTAGCAAAGGGTCCCTGTAAAAACAGAGTACATGTCCCTGGCACTGATCCACACATTAGAGCTAAACCTTTTCATTGATTCATCCATTCGATGGAAGCATAAATATTTTCGCTGCAGTCCTGTGCACAGGCTGAGGAAACTCATTCCAGCTGAGGGTCCACGTTCCATTTCGGAGACACTCTCCCAGCTGGGCCCAGGTTGGACCGGGAGCCGCCCCGGAGTCGCCCCTACCTGGAACCGCTCGTCCGTCTCGTTCTCTCCGATCTGCCTAAGCAGGTCCCCACTGGCTTGGCCGATGCTCCCGGCAGCTGTCAGGACCGTCTGGCGAGGCTGCGGGAGAGGCGGGAAATAAAGGAAGGCCGGTTACTCGCACGGCCTCGCACGGCGGTTCGCTCGCCAGGAACAGCCGCAAGACCCCTCACCTCACAAAGGCCAGGGCAGGGCTCTCGTCCAGAATGGACCCATCCTGCGCCCGCCCAAGCTGCACAGCACCATGTCTCCTGAGATCTTGTCCCGGGCAGGTTCCTCTGAAAGGGACCTCGAGGCTCAGCTCAACTTTCCCTTAATCTAGCCCCAGTTTCCCTTCAGCCCGCTCACCTCGGAGGGCCTTGGTCTCCCCGCTTCCCTGCAACCTGGGACCCCATCCCAGTGCTCAGCCGATTCCGGCACGTGGTCTCAATCCCAGCCAACTGGACAGCTTCCCTGCCCTCATGGGAACTGGACTGCAGGCATTCTCTGGGCAACAGACTATTGAGTTCCACCACGAGTGCTCGGCCAGTTCGCATCAGGGCCTTCGCTGTCTCCACGCAGCTCAGTGCCAGCTCTCAGGGAAGAGGGAGAGGGCCCCTATTAAGTGCCAGGAGACACGACCCTTGCTCCTAGGATACCGGAAGGGTGTTTCTCCATGAACTCAAACCTCAGACGTTGGTACTAACATCATCCATGGCACCCTTCCTACTAGACAAAATCCACCACTGGCTGTGTTTGACCCTCATTCCACTTGGGGAACACGTGGGCATCACCCAATACGTATTTATGCAGCTGAAATGCTTCAGAAGTTCTATGAACATTCAGAATCTGATCTTCAGTATCTAAGCTCAGAGCTTCCTGGGAGCCCTCCTTGAAGGAGATCAGGAGGGTAGCTACTCAGAGAAGGGCCTTGTCAGCAGTGGCACCCCGACTGTGGAACACGCTCCCCGGGGAGGTTCGCCCGGCACCGTTGCTCTATTCTTTTCGGCATCAGGCAAAGACCTTTTTATTTTCCCAATATTTTAATAGTTAATTGGTTTTATCCTTGATTTTATCATCATTTATTGGATGCAGCGTCTTGTGTGTTGCATATGGTTGCTCTCTTTTTGTTTTTTGTAAGCTGTCCAGAGTCTTTTAGTAATGGGTGGCACATAAAACTTTAAATAAATAGATGACCTTGTCCAAGCAGAGGGGTGTGTTCCGTTTGGAGAAGCCCTCCCAGTTGGGCCGCAAGCTGCAGCCCCAGCTGGTCAGGAGCGGACAATGTTTTGCAGATTCCCGCTCTTGGGATTAGCCCTGTCACGTGCTGGAGCTCTGAGCGCATTTCCGCGGTCCAGGCGCGAGCTGCCTCCTTGGCCTCACCTCTCCCGACGTTGGCTCCACAGCTTTCAGCAGGTCTGAGACGGCTCCGGCCAGGGTCCGCGCGGCTTTCAGGAGGTCCTCCCCGCTTCCAACCTCATCGTCCATCAGCGCAGCAAGAAGCTTGACCCCTTTGGACATCTCGGTGAGGTTGGACGAGATGGTGGTGATGGCACAGCCCACGGCCGTGTAGTCAGTGTCTACCGGGTCACCTGTGGAATGTGAGGGCGTAGCCACAAACAAGTCAGAACAGAAAAAAGCATCTCAGGCCTAGAGGAAGCCTGCTGCTAGTCATGGTTTGAGCCAGAAAGCGTTTCCCTCTGATCCTGCCGCAGTCACCTATCTGAGGGCAGGCCCCCTTCTGCTCAGGCCTTCTTCAGAAGTTCCAGGTATCCCCACAAAGGGAAGCTAAGTGGGTAGCTATGGAGACGGGGCCTCTTGGTAGTGGCCCCGCACGCCTGAGATAAATCCCACACAGAGTGTCACCTGGCTGTCGGATCAATTGCTGCACAGCGTATTGTTTGCGTCCTTTTGTATCTTAGTCTAAAGATTTGTATTGCACTTTATATGTTTTACCATGCTATGGCGGCTTAGTATTTTGAACTGTTTGTCATCTGCTCCAAGAACCAGAATTATTGGGCAGACACGAAAGGCACGGAATACACCCTCGGCTTGATGGTTTGGCATTATTCCTGGATCTGCCCGTCCCGGAACATCACCGGCACCCTGACAGAAGAAGCCAGAAATCAGCACCTGCCCATTTACCTGCTGTTAGGTTCACCACGGAGGCCGTCCCGGCGGTGATGGCATCCACCTGAGAGTGTATCTCATGCTTTGACTCATCCACTTTGTTCTGAACCCAGACTCTGGAGGCCTGGAAAAGAGCAGGAAGGTTGGATTCCACCTCAGGAGCCCCTGTGAGATGCATCCACCCAACAAAAAGATCAAGGATCATGCACAGCAGTGACCCAAAGTGACAGAAACGGCCCCTCTGGGCAAACTGGGGCTGAGATCAGATCAGGAAAAAGCCCGTGGGTGGGTCAGACCCCCTGGCCGGGTGCAATGCACAGGAAGCCCTCCTGCGTGCCATTAAAAGGGCCGGGAGCTGCCTGAGCTGCTCCGATCGGACTTAGAGCCCTAGAATAGTAGAGCTGGAAGGGGCCAGAAGCTTTTCCTGATGTCCAGCCTGAATCTGGGTTGTCGCAACTTGACTTGATTATTCCGTGTCCTGCACTCTGGCATCCGCAAGAAGAGACCTTGACCTTCCTCTCTTCTTTCAGGTACTTATAGAGGGACCCTCAGACCTGAAGGTCCAGCCAGTCCCTTCCGGGATGGGTGTCCAGGTGAGAGTAGCGGAACGCCTGAGTCAGCACAGCTCTGCCTCCTGGCGCTTCCCGCAGCGGGGAGCTGCCCAGAGGCGGCTGGGGCAAGGAAACGGAGCTGGACACCACGGAGTTGCCGCGCATCGCCCTCCCCGGCCCGCCACCCGCGCTTACCATGTCGTTTCCTAAAGGCGGGAGGTTGTCGACTTCGGTGAGGTCGGCCTGCGCCTGCTGAACGGCATGCATGCTGGTGCTGATGGTCCCCATCAGGGCTTGCTGAGCGGAGGTCTGGCGGGGAACGAAGGGGTGGGGACAGGGGCCTCGGAGACGGTTCGTGTGCAGCGGCGCGCTCTCGGCTGGGCTTTCCGGGTGGGGCATTGGCAGGATCAGGCCGCAGTATCAAGGGCCAGGGAGGTCAGCCAAGCCAGGTCCTCTCCGGGCGGAGGGCACGCCGGCAACCGCGGCAGCATGGAAATCCACCCACACCTTTTAAACTAGGAGATGATGTGGCCGAGCGGGGAAAAGCCGTCTCCCCAGCATTGCATCAGCACTCATGATTAATTATCGGCATGACAACTCTTCACTATTTTGGGGGTGCATCGCGGTCCGTAGCAGAAAGAGCTGCATCTTGCCGCTTTGAGGACTAGCGCCTCACTGGGCCCCTTTCCTCTCTGCCCATCTCATCCCTGCTCCGTTTGTAACAGGCCTTTTCGATTGTAAAGCTGAAGTCAGGGACTGCCTTACTCTTAATCTTTGTAAGCTGCTCTTGGCTCATGAGCAGGCCAAAATGCTGCGAAAATAAATACAGTTCTGCTGAGCCTGCTTGCGGTCCTTCCCAGCCAATCCCTGCTTCCTCCCAGCAAAGGGAGAGAGCGGGGGGGGGTCTTTTCTGGGCCAGCCCCCCAGGATCCTTTCCATTGCAGAAGCAGGGGACTGGAAACGGCTCTGCTCTGCTCTTTAACTTGGCAAATGTTTACACTGCTGTTGTTTAACACTACAATGAACCAGGCAGTCAATAAACACAGTTAAAATGAAGCTAAACAAAACCACTATCATGGAAAAGGAGAAGATACTTGCTTAATGTTAACCATGGAGGACAAGCGAAAAGAAAAAAAAAAAAACCCTGCTTGAAGAAGGGAAGGGAAGGGAAGGGGCCAGATGGGAGCTAATTCCACAGCCCCAAGAATTCACATAGCTTTGTCCTGTTTCCTCCTTCCACTTTTATCTTCTCTCTTCCTCCTTATCTCCCTGCTTCTCTGCTTGACAATAGAAAATCAGATACTCCAGAGTTCTGCAGAAGCCCAAGACTGTCACAGAAATGCAATGTAATCTTTTCTTTCAATTAGTTTTCTACACCCAAAGAGAAAGCATGCTTGAAATCCAAAGCAGCCCCAGAATACTTCTGTTCTCCCCCAGCTACATTCCGCAGGTAATATCCCCCACCCCCAAAGGTACAGGCACTGCAAAACCCCCACCTTTACACACGCTTTAGGGTTTTCTATAGGTACAGTTTTAGCTGCCCCTCTCCCCCATGAGCTGCAAGAGAAAATCTGCCTCTGAAAACCGGGGCCAAAGCTGTCCAAATCCTTCTGGTGTGTCTGGGGAACTACCACAAATGGAGATGAGCTGTGACCCATGGGCGTGAAGCATCTCCAAAGCTGGAGAAGGCAACCTTGGTTCTGAATCTCCTCTGGGTGAGCCGCCACGAGTCTCCTGCGTCTCGAGGCTGCACTAGGGTTCATCAGCAATCATTCTCGAATCTTTATTGCCACATATTATTTTATTTTTATTTCCAAAAGGGTTCCCTGGGGAAAACTGAGCTGATGGAACACACTGGGGTCATCAGCACACCAGCCAAGTGGCAGTAATTGCTGGCAAGAGCAGAAAGAAACTGCAAGCTTCAAAGAACATTAAAGAACATTTTCCTAATGTTCTTTAATGTTTAATGTTCTGTTGCTGCTCGGAAGCACAACATAAAAACGTCCAAGGGGAGGAATCAAACTATAATGTTTCCCAAATTTTATCACTATGCTCCGCAGCGCTGTGTATCTGCGAAGAATGATTCTTCATTGCAACTGGAACCGAAAGGAAGCCGACACGTGAGTAACTGCATTTGCACAAGCCTATCCTCTTGGCTCTTCCTTTCCTGCTTCTCTTTCCCTCCGGCAAAATTTAGACCACAAGATAATGACAGTTGGATTTGCCTTGCTCAGCAACAGGGAGATGCCGCTCGCTCACGGATCAGCTCCCTGGCATCCAGAAGCCGTCAGGTTACTACCCCAAGGCTCGGGGAACTTAATCCCCAAGGAGGGGTAGGTTGGCTCTGCTTTGCTCCGGCCTGAGCTCACTTCGACAGGCTGGCCGCTTGGAAAGGCCACTCCTCGGTCTGCAGAGAGGGGCAGCTGCCCCAGCAGATCACCTGTGAACACCTGGGCGCACCTGCGAGCCAGTCTTGCCCTGGGCCACGTGGCAGCGGGATGCAGCCTGGGTCCAGACGCCTGCCACGCACCTGCGCTACGCACGCAAGGACAGCGGAGGTGGAATGACGGGGCACTTACCAGGGGGGGCATGTGGCCCCGGTGCATCTGGCCGACCGTCACCTGCTGCTGGGGCGAGGGCATGCTGCCGACATTGAACGTCTCCGGCCCAGTGGAGCCCGAACGCATGACCGCCGGCAGCGCCACCGAGCCGTGCTCCACCTTCCCGGTTCGGCTGAACTGCTGCTGGAAGATGGCCGACCTGCAAGGGCAGGGCAGCCGTGCCTGAGGGCCTTCTCATGAAACCAGAACTAAAGGACCTTCGACCCGTCCTTCGGCGACGGCACAAGCCCTCCCTGCTCCCGGTATGGCTGCCCTGCGGCACGGAGGAGGCTGAGAGACAGACGGGCCCCGAGTACCACAACGGGAACCGAAAGAAAGCTGACCGCTTTCCTTGCGGTTGCTTGGGAGTCCCCAAAATCACTTCTTCCCGTTCTGCAGGTGGGCGATGCTCAAGAACAAGGAAGGAGGTGCTGCCGGGCCCGTTCCACAGCCATCGCAGGGGCAGCATCCTGGCCGGGCCCTGCACCTCGCCAGCCTCCACCACAGGGCACAGCTCTGGCTCGCTGCCTGAAGCACGGACGTACTTTTTAGGCGACACGGATTCTTCCAACATGGTCGATTCCTCGTCCCCTTCCAGTCCAAACCGGTCCTTGCTTTGCTTCTGCAGGAGGAAGGGTGAAGAGGACGCCTTTGTCACTGCCCTCTTCCCGTGAGGCCCGTCCTGGCTCACACACCGAGATCCGCTTCTCCTAACGTGGCTCTGCCCTGCGCGGCCCTGCCTCCCACGCTGCCTGCAGACATGAACTGCGACATCTTTGCTCCAAGGCCGGTTGCCTCCGGGCGCCTGTCCCCGTCCCAACAAAGCCCCAGAGGGGATCTGCTCTGAACAGCCACCTGCATCCTCCAGCACCTGGACTAGCTCCTGGGCGAGAGCAACGCGTTTGGCAGCAGACTTGTGCCCGAGCCCCAGGCGACCGCTGAAGGCCTCCGACAGGACGGCCTGAAACGGAGACCCCGGCATCGCACACCCCCGTGACCCTGCCTGCCTGCCGTTTTCCCCCCAGCACCCTCCCCACGGCTGCTCCCCCACCCACAGGCATGCACATGCGTGTCTCTAGCTGGAATCCTGCCTGGGAGGGGGGGGAATAGGCGGGAGGGGAGGAGGAAGTATGCCTCCCATGCCTGCTGCCGACAGCCCCCTGCTTCTGTGGCTCTGCAGCCATGTGGCACCCAGCCGGGACTGCCATGGAAGACCCCGGTGCCCCGGGCTGGTGCCTGGCAGCCTGGCAGACGTGGCTGAGCGCTTCCCCTTGGGCGGGATCCGGAGAGCTGCACGGGGGCAGAGACGCTGCTCTGCCACCGCACGGCAGAGCTCCCTCTGCTGCCAGAGCATTTCACAAGATCACCAAGGCGGTGGCCGCAGACGGGTGCTCTGGTTCCGAGGAGCCCGGTTGCAGCAGCACACGCCACGTCTTGGCAGGTTCTGCCTGCTCAGTGCACGTTTTCTAAGTCCCCAGCTAAGAGTTCAGCCCAGGCAAAGGGCGACGCGACTCCACGGAGAGGCAATTTAAGCACTCACTAATTTTGCCCATGGAAAAACAAGGGGACACAGGGAAAAATGTCCCAGTTTTCACTAATGTTTAGGACTGCCTTTCCTACATAGCAAAGTACATTTCATTTGTGTCTCGCCACTTGGTGTCGCCCAGACGCATTGGACTACAACTTCCAGCGTGCCCAACCAGCACAATGGGTTCTGTAGTCCACCTGGAGGGCATCTGGGTAGGGGAGGCTGATTTCCACGAGCTCCTGAATCAAGGAATGCCATTTGTCAAAGACCACAAGCCAAAGCCCACCCGCTAGCGCGAACAGCGCGAGACGCCCCTTCCCCCGGATCTACCTTTTTCAGGATGATGTCGATGTAGCCCGCAATCAGCTGAGAGATCTGCTCCCCTTCAGTGGTTTGCACGGAGTAGTAACTTTCCTGATACTCCCCAAAGTCCTACGGAAATAAGGTCTTACATTCACTCCCCGTGGCTGAGTCCACGGAAGAGGCAGGTCCCAGCATGGATCAGCCCTTCCTACCCGCACAGGGGGCTCCTCCAGTCTGGGTTCCCTGCCGTGGGCTGTCCTGCTCCTGCAATTGGGGGGGTGGGGTGGAAAGCTGGAGCAGGGGGGCCAGTCCTGTCCAGCAAGCTGGGGAGCCCCGAGGAGGAGGGGAGCAGGGGCGAGAAGCTGGCCTCCCGAGGAGCTCGTCTGGGGGCAGGCACAGCCGGCCATCGCGGCCCAAGCACCGCTGCAACAAGGAGGTTTCCCCACAAGTGGGACCAGCTTCCCCCCTGTGCAAAGCGCCCCTTTCGCCCGACTCTTCCTCCCACCAGGCAGGTACCAAAGTGAAGCTCTTCGGGGAGGCGGCCCAGCGCTTCACGGTCGTCAGGGGCCACTCCTGCAGGACCTCCTTGCTTTTCTCGTCGACCCGCATCACTGACTCCTTGGTGATGCCCAGCAGGCGGGGGACCAGCTTGTTTTTGCCCTTCATCTTCTCCTATGGAGGGAAAACACAGAGCTTGTGCAGGAAGCGCCGGCTTCTCCCCACCATCGGATTTTCGTCTGATGAGTTGCACGTGCGAGGGTGGGCAGGGGAAGCCCGCAGCCGTCGGGCACGGTGAAGGAAAGCTGGCGTGTTGTGTAATCGCACAAGCTGCTGACTTAACAGGCTTGTGGGAACTTAGCTAACTCCAAGATCTGCGGTCGGAGAAAGCGTCGTTCTGCATCTCAGGATTTGCTGCTCTGCTGGAAAAAAATTAGGCTTGAGCGGAGAGATCTGGCATTGCAGTTAATGCAAAGGGACGCTATCAAGAACTTGTCTATCCCAAACATCCTGGCTTTCTGGAATCACCATGCCTCCTTTTTCATTCCATATGTGATGCCTGCAATTTCCCATCCCTCCAAGTGGAGTGGGAAAGCCCCAGGCGGAGATGAGAGAGGATGGCTTCAGGCATGAATTTCTCCATGAATCTGCCCCTCTGTGCCATTTTTATCCACCACTGAAAAAAAGATGTAGCTGTTTTACTTTGCATTTTAAGGTTTTGGTCCTAAGTCACCCGAAAAATACTCAGACTCAATCCAGAGTGGGAAACCTCCAGGGCTACAAAGACCAATTCCAGCCCAGCAACTTCAGTGACTATGGGCAGAGGAGGGGGTTTCTTTGGGTGGGTGGTGGAATGTATCTGGGCTGCAGACTGCAAGCTGCCCACCCCTGATTTAGACCCTTGAAACAAGTAACATTCAATCATTTCTGATAATTTTCAAAATCATGAGGTCTGGAAACTTACTTTTTAATATTTCAAACCGGATGAATGATTTATATGTGACATGTTTTCTCATCCATCAGCCTAGGAGCATAGGTGCTTTATATGCTCCTCATCCCTCTGCACCCCATCTTCACAACAACCTAGTTAGGTAGGCTAGGCTGAGAGCAGGTAGCTTCAAGACTTCCTGGGAGTGGCACAGTTTTGAAATCTGGTCTCCTCAGCCCGAGGGCATCAATTTGTTCCTGCACCCTGCTGCCTCTGTGAAGTCCTTTGAATCCTAACAGCCTTTGAATCCTGCACGTCTGGTGTCAAGAACCGAACGCCTTCATATGATGCCTTTTGGTCTCCAGGTTGTTGGCATTCAGAAATGCAAGACGTGCTGATAACCAAAACTCTTGTGGGCAAAATAATTCACATCGCAGGAGCTGCCACTGCCTTTCCTCACCCAGTTAGACATTTCATGCCATGGTTACTGTAATGACTTCATTAGCAATCGCTTCAGTCAGTGCTAAAAAAAGTTACAGACGTGTAATATGCATTTTTAATTTAACGCATCCCAGCATGCCACTGCAGACGAATAATTACCCAAACTGTTGTCTTTCCATAGCAGGCAATGATGTCAGCATGAAGCCACCTGTTATTAGAACCTCTAAGTCATTTCAGAATTTGAAAAAGTACAGCCTAATTCAGTCGGGCCATCCAGCTCCCCAGGAGAGTCATTTTTCTTTGTGTAAGAAACACTCCCTTGCAGGGGGGTTAACGCGCTGGAAAAGAATGCCGAGAACTGGCAGGCGGCCAAGCATAAAGGCACGGGGTCCGTTTTTATTCAGCAGAGAAACTGCTCTGAAGCATTAGGATTGAGTCAAGAGGCATCCCTGTCTGGGAGCCACGCTCCCTGCCGTGACGCAACGTGATTCCGTGTCGGAGAGAGGGCAGGAAGCCCAGCCCTCACTCGGATCTGGCTTCACAGGAATGCCAGAAAGCCACTCCAGTCTGGCTAGCGCGACGACCTTTGCGCCTTCTTCTTTGGCACAGATGAGCACATCTCCCTCTCTTAATGTTGGACAAGACATAAAGTTTCAACTCTGGAAACGTCTGCAGGAAAAATCCCGGGCCACTCTCTGCTGTGAGCAAGCCTTGTGGTATACGTAAAAAACAGACATATTCAATCACGTTAATCCAATTCCAGCCTCAATCCCTCTTACCTTAACAAGGAAAAAGGAGACACCGTAGGTCCTCAGCGATCGAGCTAGCTTCACGTACTTCACCCGGGCTTCGATTTCCGTCATCTCTCCGCAGTTCTTGTGTTCCTGCAAGGAGCCTCCAATTCATTACTTCGTTTAACAACAATATTGGGGGAACTGGCAAGGTATTTTTCAGCACAATCCTGATTATGCCCACTCAGAAGAAAGTCCGATAGAGTCCAGTGGGGCTTACTCCTCGGCAAGCAGGTATCAGACCGCACCCTTATTTTACTTGTTGTGTCAAACAACAACCTATTCCTGGTTTTCTCCAAAGGGTTTTGAAAGGGGCCGGATTCAAAACAGTCACCTTGCATGGGAATGCACACTTCTCCACTGGAGAGATGAGACAGCCCTGATTTTTAGTTCAGATCCAGGACTTGCCCTGTCCCAAGAGATCGGAGCTGGCTGTGGTAGGAATCCAGCAAAAAATCAATAAATGATGTTATTTCCTGCTTCCTACATTCATTATCTGAATGAATAAGAAAGATCTTCCAGTCAATTGGGCACAACCCAGTCCCCTTCCAGTCCCCTAGTTCTCTCTTCTCTATGCTATATATTTTCTTAATTTTTATTTATATTTTGTTGTTCTATACTCTCCGATAATTTAGGATTAATCTACCATCATCTCAACCTGCCTACAAGCAAGTGAATTGCAAAGAGTTCAATGACTACACTACAGTGCAAATGAGTTGAAGGACAAAGATGCAATACAAAATGAGAAAAAGCACGATGATTATTAGATAAATTAATTACACACAAACACACACACACCCCTATCTGCATACCAACATAAATAAAATATCCTCACACACAGCCATAAAGTTCTAGACATTAAGTCTCTGAAACGCCAGAGAGAGGGGGAAAGAGAGAGAGAGGACTTTGCCAGGTGCTGAAAAGATAACAATACAGGCACTAGGCACGCCTCCTGGGGAGCCACCACTGAGAAGACCCTCTTTCACACGCCTTCTTCAGGTGTTCCATGCCTGGCACTCTGAACGGATGGGGGGCAGGGCTAGGGAAGCTAGCTCCCCCTACTTCACCCCCCCCATTACTTGGGAAGGGGGAACGTGTCCAGGGTCCTTTCCTCTTCAGAGGGTCACCCGAGGAGAGAAGCCTTCTCCTCTCTGCCACAGAGGGGTGTCCGTGCAGCACGTGGAAGGCCAAGTAAGCTGCAGCAGAGATGAGATGGAGGGGGCGGCGTCACTCCCTCACCCCCTCTTTCCAGCCTCACATAATTTTGTGGCGGGGGGCGGGGGTTCACGTCACAGAGCTGTGGCCAACCCACCTTCTAATCCATGCTTCCCCAGCCTGGGGCTCTCTAGATGTATCGGAGTGCAAGTCCCATGATCCCACCTTGGGGGAAGCTTTTCCAGGGAGTACCATCTCTCAAGGCACCCCCCCATGCATTTCAAAATGGTGGGGTGCACTTGCACGGCTCTTATCCAGGGTGGGGAGCCCTTCTAAATCCAAGACCAGACATGCCCGATTCAAACGCGCCCTTCTTCCCAGAAAACCCTACGGTCCCTTCCACGCATCGCAAAGGGACTGCACGCGAACCCTCACCTGCAGCCGGCTCTGCTTCCAGGCTCGCCTCACTCCGTCCACAGCAGTTTCTCCCTGCTCCTCTGTCCTCCGTGCCCCCTTTCCTCCGCCTCCCAACACCCCAGCGAAAGACTCTGCTTTTCCTTTCTCACCGAAACGGCTCTCTCCCCACCCCGACATCCCTGCAGAAAACAACAGCTTCCTCGGATGGCATCTTTCCTCTCAAAAGCACGCACGACCCCCCCAGCCGCCGCGGTATCTGCAAGACTGAATCCATGTGTCAGTTTTCATTAATCCCCGAGATTTCAGTGATATTCCAGGGACGGGAGATTAGCATGTGCAATGACATTCTCGCAGCGCTAGCAGGACCACACTCGCCTTCCGCCGACAGCTCTTTCTGCGGAGAGCTGTGTCAAATCGAGCTGACACCGCGTGTCGGCCTGGTAGCAAGCAGCTGGACCATGGACTTCCATGGCCATCCAAAGCAGCGAACCGACGCGGCCGATACCCATCTGCACACGCCCAGCTCTTACTTCTCCTTCTCCTTCGGGCCTCCAAAGGCTTCGAGCTCACAGAACCCAAGAGAAGCTGGACTTAGTTAGACCAAGCGCAATAGCCCGCAGTCGGCTGGCGAAATTGTGCATGAGCGGAACAAGGCAGGTCCTCTTGCACGCAAGAGCGTTTCATGGATGCAGGAAACGGCACTGCAGGGGCACGCCAACCCTACGAGTCCAACTTCGGGGGTGTGCCAATTTGCTGGATGCCTTAGGGAGTCATTCATTATGTGTGCCCACCTTGTACTGGTGGAAGTAGTAAAATCCAGGCTAAGATTTCCTTGCTCTTGTTTTTCCGTTCTTTGGTGCACAAAAGCGGTTTAACATGGATGTTTTAGCCTGCAGCAGTTTATTTGTCAAATTGGGATCGTTACACCGTGATGTTTAATGGCTTTGGTTTGGAAACTGCTCAGGGAGCTTCATGAAAGATTGAGGGATGTGCCCCCTGAATGTGCAGCTTGAGCGGACACACTCTCCAGCCCAGACGGCTTCGCTCTTTCAGCCGATGTCACCCAGCTCATGCTGAACCACCAGCAGCATCACCGGCTTGCTACCGTGGGGCACATGCGCTTTGCACGTGTAACCCGAGGATCGCACTAGCAAAAGCAAGGCATGCGGCAGGGGGACCAAAACACCTCTAGAAGCAGCATGAAAAGGGGCTTAGGACACCAGGACCTCCCATCCTGGCACTCCATCCCTCAAGGCTCGCTTCCGGGCCTGCTGCTCTCTGGCGGAATGGAGCAGACCGCCAGCTGATGATACCAGTTGCAGTCCGACACACCTGGAAGGGGCCAGGCTGGGGAAGCTCAGTGAAAGCCCCGATCCATCAAACAGAAAGTCCTTTCCAGAGTTTTGCAAACACCGAGCTCTTTGGGGTCAGCCAACAATCCAACTTCAGCTGTGATCTCTTAGACAAGGACATTTCTGAAATAGCGCCAGCTCCGGATTATGACACCTTGAGTCTGATTTTGGCTTTCATTGTTTTTTCTTTAAAAAAATGGAACAAACTGATCCAGGGCTGATCATCTTGGATACTCCAGAGCGTGTAGATGCCTAGGCCTTCGGAAACCACCTTCAGTCAAAATATACATCCGAGGACTTGCATCTGAACATTACACCAAATATCTGTGTGGAAGAAGTGGTGCTGGTACAGCCACATTAAATCCCACAGTGGAAAAACCAAGAAACTAACTCCCTGCAGAAGTTCTGGACTACTTCCGTCAGTGTCCCCAGTCAGCACGGCCAACGTAGCTGTCGTCAAACAGATGTGGGAGACGCCTGGTGGGGAAATGCTGCCTTAGATGGACCCGGCTGAAGTCGGCTTAGAACCTCCTCCACAAAATCGCCAGCCCTAACAAGACTTGGAAAGCACAGTGGATTTGGGTGACCTGCCACCTCCATTTTCCTTGATAGCCAACAGAATTCGGGAGTATACAAAGCAGGTGACATTTAGGCTTCTGCAACAAGAGGAGACCAAGGAAACTCTGCGGACAAAATGGCCCACAAGCCCCTTACATAACCATCACGGCTCCCTCCATTTCAGATGCGTTCCTTTTTGCACTGCGCACTGAAACAAGAAGTGTTAAACACACACATTCCTTGAAGAACATGCACTGAAAAGCAAGAATAAAATCTTCCAGTGGAACAGAAATATGAACTAGGATAGCAAATTTGCCAAAGGGGGAAATAGGAGAAAGAGCCGCCTGCTTCTTTTACACTTGAGTTCATGCTAGTTTATTGCTGAAGCGAATGCACACCATTCTGAAAGCAAAAGATAAAATGCTCCGTCTCACTAGAAAGCTGGGGTGGGGGGAACCCCTCTTAATTACCTGAAATATCCTCTTCTCAGCTCCTCGTTGCTTGATGTATTCTTTGGGAAGGAATTCTTTGAGACTGGAAGGAGAGAAAGACACTAATGAAGGCAGGTTCAGCTTTTCCTCATTTGAAGCATTATAATACATTTCTGCATATGACTTCTAGTACCTTGCAGCTTTCCTTTTCCCTGATTGGCTACATGCCTCCCTCCCAGCCAGAGGTAGCCAATCGGGGTGGGCCACTGGGTCGGGGTCTACAGCAAGTGGCCAATGGGAATTTTGCTCACCAGCTCCTCCACCAGACCATCTCTAAGACACCACCAACAGCCATGCGAAAGACCCATGGAGAGAACTCGGTTCCACTCCCGCAGCCTTGATCAGCCAGTCTGAACAAAAACTCCATCCTGCCTATTTGAATTTCCACAGATTCTGCCCTCCTCCCATCCTCCAATTACTTATTTAAACCTATATTAAGCTGCACTCCCACTGACCACTGTGTACCCAGTGCAATCAATATGGAAAGGTGAGAAAACTTCAGTGCAACACACATTACGAAGTCTTCATTGGAACAGTTATTTTCAGACTGGCAGAAAATCTTCCGTTGGTTTAATGCAGTATTTATTTTCAGCATCATTGTGAATTAGCTCAATTACCACTGAGCAATTGTTTGCAACTGAATGCACTGCTTTGCACCCTCTTGTGATGAATATGAGTAACAACACTGGTTTATTTCCAACGTGTAAAACCTTGAAATGGAACCTCTAACCATAAATGCAAAGCTGGGGCTCCCGTGACTCCTTTTCAAGATAGGGCCAGCTCTGCTCGTCCATGGCTGGCCTTCACACAGCCGGCTCAGTTCAAAGGGCCTTCGACAGTTTGCCCACATCTGAGCTGATTGGCCTTTGTTGATTTTGCTGCTGCTTTGGTCTTTGCTTGCTTGCTTACTTGCTTGCTTGTTTGCTTGCTGTCTGGAGTGTCTCTCCCTTTGAGTGCCTTTCCATTGTTCTGGTTACTAGCAAATGGTTACTGCTTATATCACAGCCTTGTAAATGCTGCAGTCCTGTTTCTTGTTCCCCACAGTCTGGTCCCACACAGGAATAAGAGCAGGAGCCAGTAACCATGTTAGAGTTGGGCAGGTTCAAAAGGGAGAGACAATTCCTGAAAGAACCTGGCTCCAGGCCTCAAGGGCTTGAAGGGACTCACATGGGCCTGCCAAAATTCTGCCGCAGCGCTCCGTAAGTATCCCTTGGGCCAATCAGTCCAGCTCCCTGACAACCGTATCTGGACAATGCAAGGAAGACCAAAGAACACCTACTAATTATCCGGGGACAATTCACTCAATGCCTGCTCCAGGGTTGTGAGGGCCCCTGGCCAAGTCATTCTCATGGTTCCCCTTCTTCAGAGTCTGTCTTCTTCCAACACAGGTCTGTCTTCTCCCAAAACAAGTCTGTCTTCTCCCAAAACAAGTCTGTCTGCTCCCAACACAGGTCTGTCTTCTCCCAACACAGGTCTGTCTTCTCCCAACACGCCACCAGCTGCCCCTGCTTCTCCTCCTCTTCCTCATCATGGTAGGCTGAGTGGTGTGGAGCGGCCCCATTGCCTGTTCCACCTTCTCACCACCAACACGGTTGGGGCAGAGCAAGAGGGGAGCAGGCCAGCTGGCATCTGAAGAGGTGTAGCAACACTGGGGCCCTGGGTACCCAGCCAGGCCCACCCTGGATGCTGGCCCTGCACCCACTGAAGCCGCTGGGTGAGCTCCACTGATACAAAAGCAGAGCATTGCAGAACGAGCAAATGCACTGAGCAACCATCCCTCCCCTTCAGCACCATCCCCGCAGAGTGGCGGTTGGCCCCTGCTAGCCGCTTGGTGTGAAGAACGCCAGTGCAGAGACGCACTGCCTGCGGAGGACTCGCACAAAAGGAAGCTTTCAAATGCCCCCTCTTGTTATCCTTTCCCTTCACTCAAGTTCTCATTGTTCGTGCAAAGAAGGGATGTTAAAAACCCAGAACGACGCCTTGGCTGAGCAGAAACGCACAACTGAACGTCTGCTGCTCCTCTGGAAGGGATGGGAAAGTGCAACATACCCTTTCTAGAAGGGAGACCCCCGTCCAATTAAAGTGAAATCATTCATAAGGAGTAGGGCCAGAGACAAAAGCCCCAGAGAAATCATCCACGAGCTTGTTTTAATTTGAACTCTGAACAGAAGCGAACAGCAGAAGCGAGCAGCCATCCTCTCCTTGGAGAGATACAAACACGCCATCGTTACTATTAAATCGCCTTATTTAAATTCATCAGGATTCTGGCTTTGCAAAGCAGGGGAATGAGGATATGGATAAAATAATATACAGCAGCCACTTCACTCTCTGCAGCATTTGGGTGGATTCAACATCCATGGCAAAAGCAGGCATTAACCTGCCATTCACACACAGCTGCCCCACCAGAGAGGGGTCCCAGTCTGGCTAGCACTATTCATTTATTTAATGCATTTATATACCGCCCAATATAAACACTCCAACCACTTGTCATTGCTGGGAAAATTCTTATTGCTGGTCTCACTACACTGCTAGCAGTGACTTTGCAGCTCCCTCTGTCCCTGCCTTTTCCTCCTGTCCTGAACAGCCACTTCTTCATGCCGACTTTTGGCGATGCCGCCAAGGTGGAAAGGGAGGCCAAGGGCCCTGTCTGGGCTCTTGCAGCCCCCTCAGGGGGAAGGACCCTCTGCTGAGGTGAGAACTCCCTCATAGCAGGGTCTCCAGGAAGGCCTGGGAAAGACGCCTCTCTGGACCGAAGGAGAACTGCTGCCAGGCAGTGCTGACGACTCCGAGTCCAGTGGGCCCACTGTCCAGCTTTGCCCCTGCTCCCTGTGCCCGTGGTGTGGGACAAAAAGATCTTGCTTGACTGGGATCTGCCCTTAAGCCACTGGACAGGGCGGCTCATTTTCGCAGGCATCTCACCGGCAACAACCCCTCCTTTCTGGCCCTTCTGGAGGTGGGCCGACCCTTCTTAGGCATGGCTCCCTACCAGCAGCGGCTGCTGCTCTGAGCCCCTGCTCTCACTTCCACCGAACCAGCATGGGACCCGCGGCCTCTGGGTGCCCATTGCCCGAACAACCTTCCTGACAGGCTGAGACTTGGACCGGGTGGAGGAGAGGCTTCCATCCGCGGCTGAAATGCCAGTCCCAGTGAAGGGAGAATCAGACAGGTCCCTGCACTGCAAGCCAGGCTGGGATTGCAAATGTGGGAAGGGGCAGACTAGGCATCATTGATCCCAGGGTGTGGCGGCTGGAGACGAGGGCAGGCCAGCCGACCGACCGACCGACCGACTGACGTCAAATGCTTGGGCTGCCTGGCCCTTGAGCAGGGCGGATCCGCCGGGAAGACGCGGCTTGCTCTTTTCAGTCTGGAACGGAGGAGAGGCATTCCATCTGGAATCCCCTTCTAACCATGAAGCCGGATTTCCCTAGGGGCCCACACCAAGCCACAAAAGCCGAGCTGGTCAGCACCAATGGGATCAAGGCTCTGGGAAGCAAAGACCAAAGGGCTAAAGCAAAACCCCCAAGATCTCCAAAGGAGAAGGTAATATTTCTTATGCCAATCACATTGCACAGCCTCAGACCAGAGGAAACAGCCGCTATCTGTAAGCAAAGCTGTCAACTGCAGAAGGAACGGCAAGGCCAAGCAGCCCCGAAGGGAAACTATGTCTGTTATGCAATTGTTATACAACCCGTTCTGGAGTGGGGAGGGGAAGGAGAGGATAACTAATGAACGAGCTTTCCAGCAGCTTGCATTTCATAAAAATTCTGTAAAAGCTTGAGGGATGAAGCAGCAGTCCAAATGGAAGCAGGGATTAAAAGGAGCGTGTGATGGCGTGCTAGTCCACCTCTCTGTCTCTGCTGTGCTGGACTCCAGCTTAAGAACAGAGTGCAGAAATGTCTGAGGTGGTACAGTCCTCTCCCCTGTCCCAGGCCTCTACCACCTCCCCTTTGGCTGGATAGGTAGGCTTTTTCTGAGACAGCACACTTCTAGGCTCTGGTCAAACTCTCACTCAGGGAATCTTGGTCACTCTTGCTGGTCTTCCAAGAAGAAACAAGATTTACTTTTTAGGGTTCTCTAGGCACCCCAGCTGGAAGGTTGTGGGGCGGGAAAGCTTTTCCAAACAGCACCTGCGACTCGCGCTTCAGCTGACGTGCCCACGCTTCTGGGCGACTTACTCTAAAAAGCCAGGCTTGTGCTTGTGCTCCACGTGAGGGCCGAACTGGATCTGAGCTTGGAAACCTCCGAATTCACACGCCTTCTCAAAGGATACAGGATGGGAGCCATTAAGAATGTCATCACGAGCCTGGGAAAAGGGAGAGAAGGGCCGTTTCATCTGCAAGAACCTGCTCCTGCCTGTTCACCCCCATCCGCCCCACACTCCTCCCCAAGGGCCTCGAGCATGCAAAGAATCTTGGTTCTGCATCACAGGTGGGGCAACCGCAGCCCTCCAGATGCTGCTGTTATCACATAGAAACAGAGCCAGTCAGAAGGGTCTCCCGGGCCATCTAGTCTGACCCCCGGCTCCAGCCGGCTCCGCTCACGACACGCCCACAGTTCCCATCAGCTCACAGCAGCATGGCCTATGCATAAGGACAATGGTGTCCGTAGTCCAACAGCATCTGGAAGACACCGTATTTCCCCCCGTCCCATACTGCCGGAGTCCAATTACTTCCCTGACTCCAGCAGTTAAACAAGCCGTCTTTGCTCTCCATCGTACAGCACAGTTCTGGGAAAGCGGCAATTTATTCAAACTGGGCATCTGGGCCAACCTCCGTGCCTCCATCATGGCTCATTTCCCCTCTTTCCACACCAACCTCCATTCATTTTCTCTCTCTCCCTGTTTCCCCTTTAGTTTTGCCAGGGTCCTCTGTTTATGAGTGCAAATCTTACAACTGGTTGAAAGAAAAAGAGAGCGAAGGAAAGGCCGCACGGCAAGAGGTCATGAAAAGAATATATAAGCCGTATCGACCAAGCCATGTTGCTTCATACGCACGACTCCAACGCAACCAGAGGCCTCCTGTGTTTCTAAAGCTGGGGCCTCCACAATACAGAGGAATCCAGGATAGCTGGGGAAAACAGCATTTGCCCACTGGGGCGGCCGCATTCCAGCTTTCGCATACCTGTACATAAAGCAGGTTGAGCTGAACAGGGTCTCTCGAGTCAACATTCTGGTCTGAGTAGAAGAACTTCCGTCTCAGCAGCAGAGTCTCGTTCTCGTCTACTCCTTGCTCCCGAAATGTCCGACTGTGATCCAACCAGTTCACTAAGGCGAGAAACCCCCCGCAGGCATGAGCGTTACTCCAGTGTAATCCCTTTCCCTGCTCAGGCGCAGCATGAAGTTGGAAGGAATTCCAGCCCCATTCTCGGCAGCTGCACGGAATCCTGTCCAGCCAAGGGCAGGCACGAGCGGGGAAGCGAACCCTGCAGTCTGCCTGCTCATCACTACACACGATGGGTTTGATGCCTGCCAGCCGGAAGCTCGTGCTTTGGCATCGTGGGTGCAGGGAACATCGGAAAGGATGGATGGTTTCGGTGGCAGGGCCCTGCCTTGCATGCAGAAGGCCTCAGGGCTGGTCCCACCATCTCCAGGCCGGAGGAGGAGGGCCACTGCTGCCAGTCAGTGTCACCCACACTGGGCCATCTCCAGGCCGGAGGACCGCTGCTGCCAGTCAGTGTCACCCACACTGGGCCATCTCCAGGCCGGAGGACCGCTGCTGCCAGTCAGTGTCACCCACACTGGGCCATCTCCAGGTCGGAGGACCGCTGCTGCCAGTCAGTGTCACCCATACTGGGCCATCTCCAGGCCGGAGGAGGAGGACTGCTGCTGCCAGTCAGTGTCACCCACACTGGGCCAGATGGAGCAAGACCATCCGAGCTTCCAGGGTTTCTGTGTGGGTCCCTGTGTCCTACCCTCGCACCCATGATGGTGGTCCCACAAGGACCTCAGTGGCAGACCTTGTCCTGCATGCAGAAAGTCCCAGGCCCGATCCTGGGCAGCTCCGGGAAAAAGGGTCAGGGAAACGGCCGGGAGTCCCAGGAAAGGCACTGCCTGTCCAAGGAGCGAATGAGAAGGTGTCCGCCTGGCACCGTCGTTACTGGTTTTTCGGCGCCAGGTAAAGACCTTTTTATTTAAACATCATTTTAATTGTTAAAATATATGATCTGGCCAGGGCAACTTCTTCTTCCTTCTCTTTTCTCCTCCTATATTCTTTATTTACTTATTTTATACTGTTAATTTTAATTTTATATTATTGTATCTCAGTGTATTTTTTGTATTTAGTGGTAATTTATTATGTTCTATTGTATTTCAATGTATCTTATTGTGTTGTAAGCTGCCCCGAGGCTTCGGCAAGGGGCGGCATAGAAATGTTATAATAATAATAATAATAATGATGATGATGTTGGACCGGAGGGCAGCTTTATGCACTGCTGCAAAAGCGCGTCATTGTTATCGTGCGCCACAAGCAGCAGGATCTGGCCTTCTCTAAGCGGGGCCTGCATTTGCATGTCAGGCACGCCGCTCCCGCCAAACTGAAGCGGAAGGCAAGCAAAGGAAGGACTTTATGGGCCTGGGGTTCTGAAACACGCCCTTTGCCACCGCCACCTCCGCTTAGGTCCTCCTCCCGTTCCTCAGTTTTGATCTTTAACGGACAAACCCCCCCAAAGCCTGCGCACGAGGTGAAACAAGGATAGACCTGGGGAAAAAACCCTGCAGCCAGCCGTGCAGCGTGAACCTTCCACTTGGGTCGCCGCTGAACTTTCGGAACAAAGCGAGCATTGTTTTCGCTTCCTGTGCAAACACTATTGATATTTCATACTGAGATTTCAGCAGACAAAGGCAGCGCTTTGCGTTGACCTCCGGCATACAAGGTAAGGAGGGAGGGAGGGAGGATTGCTGGAGAGCTGCTGGGCTCCCGCCCCACTGATGTGAGCCAGGACAGACGGCTGGACGAGAGGAGCTGCCGGTCCAGTCCCGCATCGGGGCCCTTCTTATGGTCTCACTGAGAGAGAAACGTCCTGCCTAAACCGCATTTTTGAGCTTTTAAGCAAAATGCCCAGCGGAATCCTTAGGCTCCTGCCAGCCAGGTTTGGAAGGAGTTTGTTTATTCTGCTTTACTTTATTTTACATACACTCTTCTTTTCCTGTATTTGTTTATGTTAAGAAAATAAACATTAATAAAAGAATCAAAAAGAGATTTGGAGGCAGTGGGAAGAAACGGGGTAGAGAGAAGCGTAGCGTCGGCGGGCAGCCAGTATGGATTCAATGCCACATATGAAGGGTGAGATTCTTGTACAGCAGACCATTGATCAGCTCAAGAAAGGCGTGTTCCAGACCTGGGCATTCTGAAAACCACGTGTTTCTACACACACGGCTTTTGTGTTTGTTACATGCCCATTTGCAGACACTATTGCCACTCTGACTTTCATACACGATTAATCCCCGATAAGAGCTTTCACTGTAGGAGATACAACTCACGGTCGTCATCTGTATGCAGCTTTGCCTTCAGTTTCTCCATCTTCTTCTCATCCCGCAAGAGCGTGCGATCTTTCTTCAGGGTCCCGGTACCCTCCTCCTTTTTTTCTTCGGTGCCCTCTTGGATTAAGGAGTACTCTTCATAATTTGTTATTCCTAAACGTTCCGGAACAAAGCAGACCAGAACTCTAAGCAGCAGGAGCTGGTAGGGAGGAGAAAAAAGCAGCCATGCGCACCACCTCCCCCTGCTGGCGTGCCGAGGAAAAGCCACACCATGCACCACAATACACTACAGTGCTGTCAACGGGCCAATGTGGGTGCACTGACTTCACGTGTGCAAACTGGAGAAGAACATTCCTGATGCTGACGGTTGATCCAGAAGCTCCTCTCCCAGAAGAGCCCTGAGACCGGGGCTCCAGCCTCATGCTCAACCAGCAAACCTCAATGCCATCAAACTGGCTCCCCTGGCCCCCCCTTTCATTCTGACCTGGCAACTACAGAGTTAGGGCTGCTCTCCTGCCCCTGCAGGGCGGTGGAAAACCAAGTAACTGAGGGTGGGAGAACTCCAAGACCGGCTCTCGATCTTACCTATCCGACTACAAATGGTGACCAACAATTCCCCGACGGTCTTCGAGTCGTCCACCATCACCGTCTTCACTGCACCATCCAGCATCCGTATCTTCTGTGGCCGGTGCTTCTTTTTGTATTCCAAAATATCCTAGGAAGCAAGTCACAGGGATATTTATTTATTTATTTATTTGAAACATTTCTATGCCACCCCCATCGCAACAAAGCCTCGGGGCGGCTTACAACATAATTTAAACATATAAATAACAAATTAATACAATTAAAAATTTAAAAAACCCGGTAACATCTCAGCTTAAAAATTTAAAACCTATAAATACATAATAAAGTAACAATTAAGTTTTAAATAAAAAGGCCTTCGCCTGGTGCCGAAAAGCGAATAACGACAGCGCCAGGCGGACCTCTCTGGGGAGCGCATTCCATAAGTGAGGCGCCACTGCAGAGAAAGCCCTCCTCCGGGTACTCACCCTCCTAATATTAAGGGATATGTCATGGGATACAGACCAGCCAGATGGAAGCGCCAACGTTCAGAGACAGGGCCCCTCACTGGAGGTCCGGGCCTCGGCCAGCGCCCACCCACGTCGCCCCTGGATGCGGGCGCTGCGTTTGCCGCACCGCTCCTGGGATCCACCAGAGCACTGCCTCGAACATGGAGAGTCCATCTGGCCGTCCGGCCTCGCGGGCCACCGATGGCGCGCTCCCCTCGTTCCCTGGAGACACGGCAGAGGAGGGCACATACCCCGTTCCGCAGCATGTAGTAATCCAGGGTCCTTCCAGCTTCAAGCCAAATGCCCTTCCGCGGATCTTCATCAGACAGGAATAACCCATAGTCGGATGCTGAGAACGGGAGAGGGAAGGGGGCAAGGGTGAGCGTCCAGAAGGCCTCCTTGCTGAGCATCCTTTCCAGGGAAAGCCTTCCACCTGACGAGAGACCCAGAGTCGCCCCAGCTTCTCTCCCCACCTCCTGTGCCCTGATCCCATCCATCCTCCTTCTCTCTGCTAGAATTGGCTCGCTTGCCAATCAGTTCGAAGTTCAGGAGGCTCAGAAAAGCCGACGGTCCTGGGGCGCGCGGAAGGGAGACACACCGCCGTCTGCATGGCAGCGGGAGCAACCAAAAAGCTCTTCTTTTGGCAAGGGAAAGATAAAGAATTGGCCGTATTATCACACTAGAGGCTAGGAGAGTCAGCACTGCTTTGACAACCCTTCCGCCCTTCCAGGGGTGGGCGAGATCGATGTTGCAGCCGCGGAAAATGTGTGCCGAGGAGCAGCAGGAGGACAGGCTGCCAGAAGGCCACGAGGAGCTCACTGCAGGAACCACAGACCAAAACTGTGACACCAAGAGGCATCGCTTCAAGGACAGGGCTTTAATCTCTCAGCGCTAATTAATGAAGGCTGTCCCGGAAAGTAATGAAGCAAATAATACCAAGTGGTTTAAAGCTAATGCTCGCACTCTATCAGAGCCTGTTACGTTGCGCCCGCAGCGGAGCCTGTGCCGGAGGGGAACGGCTCGCGAGCGCGTGCAGCAGAAGTCCCAGGCTCCGATTCCGCCTGGCCCTCGCTTCCACCTGCTCCGGGGCTACCTGGCCAGGTGAACGCCCATCTCGTCTGCGGCAGCGTGGCTCTTCATGGATTACAACTCGCCGGGAATTGTACTGCTGGCCGCCTGATTTGGCAGTCTTGAGACGAGCGAGCGGATGGCCACCCTAAAGTCATTCTGAGTTCAAGCTGCCCTGGCAGGGGACCCCAGTGGCCTCTGCCCCGAAAGGGGAGACAACAGGCACTGCCAAAACGGAGGGATAAACGAAGCATTACTTGCGTTGCACCTCCGACACGTAGCCGACCCAGCAGCCTCTCCAAAAGGCACTGCAGCACCCACTTTGCAGCAGGTTGCAAAGGTTTCCCTGCAACTGCAACTGCAAAAGGGTTGCGAGGCCAATTCCAAAGAAGCAGCGAGTGGTCTGTTCGAGGCTGCAAAATGCAGAGGCTCCATCCACCTTGGAACGGATGCCTAATCAGAAAGGTCTCTAAACCAGGGGGGAGCAACTAGTGAGCTCCCAAACGTTGTGGCCCACAACCCCCATCAGCCCTCGCCAGCACAGCCAGTGGTGAGGAATCATGGGAACCGGAGGCCAGAGGCCAAAACATCCGGAGGGCCACGCGTTGCCCATCCCTGCTTTACAGGGACCTCTTTGGTAGCCTTTATTTGCTCATGAGAGACGAGGGGGTACGGATTCAGAGGCGGGAGGCTCCCGATGATCTTTAGGGAAGCCGGCATCACACCGAGGTTCTCCCCAGGACTCACCCTGCCCCGTCTGGGCCTCCGGCACCCGCTCGCGGATGACCCGGCACGCGTCGTACACGGCCGTGGAGGGCTCGAACTGCATCGTCTTGACCACATTGCAGTGGCGGACACAGATCTTCAGCGACAGCGCGACCATGCTGCCGGCCGGCGGGCGGGCTGCTCTTCAGCTCTCCTTCGGGGGACACAGAACAGAGCACAGCGCGACTCAGCACAGCTTGCTTGCTTGCAACCGTCCCGTCCCGTCCCTTCGGAATCACGCAGTTATAAACCAATTTATTCAGTCATTCAAAGGTTATTTAATTATTTACTTGACGTTTTTATATGCTGTCCCAATGCTAAACGTCTCTGGACGGCTTGCGAAAACCAAAATCTTTCCATCATAGCTTAGTACAAATTCTACTCATTTTGGAACGGGCCAGATTTTGGAGCCTGATCCCGCCAGGTCAGCAGAAGCATGCTTGGCCCAAGCAACCTTAGAGTTTATCCTCCCCGTTCCTGGTAGATCAGGACTTCCCTTTCACTCCCTCTGCTCCAAGATGCTGGGAACCCCCAAGGTGGAGGGGGGTGGAAGATGCCCCTGTGGAAGGGGCAAAGGGGAAGCCCAATCTTGGGCAGCAGGAGGCGTGCCTGACTCGAGCGCAGTCTTGGCACTGGTAGCAGGTGTCTGTCAAGGCGCCCGGGCTCGGGAAGAGCTCCCAGGAAAACCAGGCATTCCTACCCTGGAGGTGCAAACCAGAAACCTCCTGCAAAAGCTGATTCAGCAAGATGCCAGGGCAGACGGCGATTTGGAAACCGTGCTGAGGTTCTCCCTCCCCTCCACTGTTCTTGCCGGCGGTTCCAGGAGCATCCCCAGAAGGAAGGGATGAGCCACCGCCGTTCCCTGCCCTAGAAACAGGGACAGCGGTCCACCTTGCAAGGACGGTCCCCGCACTGCCAGAAGGGCATTTCCTGCAGGCGAGGGAGAATGCCCGGCAGCCTCCGGGGTTACGGATGGCCCCTGCAGTGGGGGCGATGCCATTCCTCCAAGGGGCTGAGCTGGGATGCACGGGGAGTGCAGCAAGGATCCCGGGAGCTGGGCTGCAGCCAGGAGACGCGGAGCAGCGCGGGGGCCTTTCCTGCTGTTATCCTTGGAGCAACCAGGCCGGCGGGCCCCAAGTCCCTGCGCAGAGGTGCAGGCGGGCCTGAGCCTGCGTCTCCTGGCTGACAGGGGGGACGTGGCTCAGTCCCTTCAGGGGGAGCATCCCGCAGCCCGTCGGCCACCCCTCGCTCCTCAGGCCAAGCTCCAACGACACAAGCAGAACAGACGGGCAGAAACGCCAGGAACAAAGAACAGCCCCCGAGTCTGGCCCACATGGAAAGTTTTGTGGAACACCTTGTGGTTTTTAGAAGCAAGCAACCGTAATGGTGACCCAGGAGTCTCGGGCCGTGAAACCAACTAACCAGCAGCGCTTCGGAAATAAACGTTTTGGGGCAAACCCCTTGGAGGATGTTCATCCCTGCTTTTCATTTCATCTGCTCCAGGCCAGCCCTCCCCAACCTCGCACTCTCCCATGGCACTGGACTACAGCTCCCATAATCACTCCCTAACATGGCCACTGGCTGGCTGGGGATGATAGGAGCTGTAGTCCAATCACAGCCGGGAGGCAGGGGAAGCTCTGTTATTCCTTGGCATCTCTGTCCCTTCTTTTTCCCTCTTGCAAGGAACCAAGGAGGCTTAGGTGGTCCTCCACGTCATCCTCACAACAACCCTGCGAGGTGGGTCAGGCTGCACATGAGCGACTGGCCCAGTGAGTTCCCTGGCTGAGCGAGGCGCCAGCAGGCACCCTGAGCCCCTCCTGTGCCACGCCAGCCCTCGGCCCGTGGCGGGGCAGCTGCCAGAACGCAACACACGGACCGTCCGGTCTCCTGGATCGCTGAACAGGAAGCACTTGGCTTGGTGTCTGGCAGCGAGAGCGTGCCGCTACCCCTCGGGGTGAGAGGTGCGTACTCTGGACATCCTCAGAGACCTTGTGTGGCTGCGTGTCAGCATGAAGTCTCCTTTCTGTGCATGCGCTGAGCACAGACCCAGAATGGGGGACGCGTCCTGTGGCTGTGTAGCGAGCCAGACAGCCGGGACGGAGCCTGGAGCCTCGAATGCGCCACGCCAAGGGCGAGCTGCTTGGCGACGGCGGCGCCCTCCCTCAGCATGCCGGCAAGGAGGGATCCCAGAAGCCGTCTCCACTTGAAGCAGAATGGAGTAAGCCAACGTTCTCGCCATGAACGATGACCAAACAAGCCCCCAGCCCTCTCGCCTGGAACACACGTATGCGAAACAGAAGAATACTGAAACGCACTCGCCCTTTTTCTACGTCGAAAGCAGTGCCAGCAAAAAACAGCTCCATTCGGACAAACCGAGGCCGCGTGAAGTATCTGGCTCATGCAGAAGCGACATCACAGCATGTGCAACACTGGCAGGAGCCGTCTTTGCAACAAAAACAAGGCACTTCTCAATTCCCAGCCCAGCCATCGCTCATCTTAAATTTCGGCCTCCCCCAGCCCAGCACTTGGCAAGGAAGTCCGCCAGGAAACGAGGAGGTCCCTTCCTCTTCCTATGAGTCAGGACTTTGCGCTGCCAGAAGCCTCACGGTGCTGACCATGTAAAGGGAGCACAGCTCAGTGCCTGTGTGCAGAGGCTTCCTTGCTGCTGAGCTCCGGGGCTCCTGGAAAGCGAGGCACAAGGGCCGGGGAAGGCTCAGCCACTGGCAGGATCGGGGCCAAAGTGGCGTTTTTAAAGGAGCCACCCCCGGTTCCCAGGGCAGCCAGCTCCGCAGAGCAGCTCAGCAGAGGCAGCACTTGCTGAGCGCAGAAAGCGGAGGGGCTGATGGGAACGAACCCCTGAAAGACGGAAAGGGAGGCGCAGTAGCCCCGCTGGCTGCTTGCACCCCTCAGACATGCTGGGGAGAGGGCTGGCTGGCAGGAGGAGCCTGCCACCCAGGGCCCCTCGCTGGGCAGCGAGGGCACACGGCCACCCCCACTCCCGTGGCTGGAAAACGGCCTTCCTTTCACTTGCTTAACTGGTTCCTTAATCCATTCAGTCTGTCGGCACGGTGTTCCTGCCTGAGAGAGGGCGGGCTGGAGGCGAGAAACGAGTGCCACCTAATTAGATCCAGCCGCCCTGCTGCTGATGTGAAGCACCCAGAGAGCTCTGGCTGTCGGACGGTAGAGAAATCCATCCATCCATACGTCCAAGAAAAGAAACCCACCATCAAATGCTTCCATTCCTCAGCTGCTCGTCTCTAATCCAGTACAAGCGCTGGCCTAACTCGCAAGGTTACTGGAAGAGCAAATCAGATTTGGCCTGCCAAGGTCCTTGAACTCGTGAAATATGCTGCAGAATCGCTTAGCAGATCTAAAAGGCCACCTCCTCTCACACGAACCGGGCCCTGCCTTGAGCTCTTCTCCTGGAGCTCTTCCTGTGTCCCACCACCAGGAGATGGTCAGCTGGGGGGGGGGGGGGGGGGGGGGGGTGCAGGGCAGGGTCTTCTCTGTGGAAGCCCCCCTGCCCCACCTGTGGCACTCTCTCCGAAAGCGGGTTAGGCTGCCCCTCTTTGTGTGGTTTCATTTTCTGCTCTGCTTTTTGCTTAGTATTTTAAAGGTGCACCCGATGCCTGCTTACGTAGAAAAGAGTCATTCTCATCCAGCCACGCTGCAGAGCTTTCACTAAGCTCTCCCCTGAGCATTTCTGCGGGGTATCCCAAGAGTTCAGGGACTCCTGCATCCAGAAGCAGACTAATCAAACAGGCTTTGCAGGCAGCTTCCAAGGGTGGCGCTGCTAAGGACCCAAAGACAAGAGCCTAAGTGGCAGCAAACAGGCTGCCTCTGCCTGCAGAAACAGCTGGCTCAGCTTGCTAACCCTTGTCCAAAACAGGACATCCTGCACCTCAAGCTTCCCAACAGATGCTCGGCCAATTTTCCACAAAAGGAAGAACTTTCTATGGATTGTCTAAATCGGCAGATAAAATCGAAAGTGCTCGGGGATGGGAGAAGGCCTGGCCCAGGATCTTGCTTCCCTGCAGGTGGCCAGCCACAGGCAATTATCCCCCAGGGGGGCCAGTGCTCAGGGAAAGGGCAATGCTTCGCATGCAGGGGGTGCTTGGCAAAGGTCCCACCCACAATACTAAGCCAGCTGGGCTACGGCGGAGAGTGCTTCCTCTCCTCCCGGCATCCGATACAGTGCTCTTGAACATGGAGGCTCCACGTGGCCAGCACAACAAGGGGCTGACATTGGAGCTTGCCTGCTCCACGTATTGATAACTTCTCCTTTAAAGCCATCTAAACCAGTGGCCACTCAGTAGTGAATTCCAGCTGGTTGGGTGAAGAAGGACTTGCTTTGCTCTCCTCTAAATCTGGAAGGCCACAAAAGTTGTTTTCAGCTCCGGGGGATAAGATGCTTGGTGCAGTGAAAGAACAGTACAAGATATTTGGTGTCTGAGATGAAAAATGCTTTTAATGGCACTCAGAGAGTACAACACACCTTTATTTTTCTATATGGTGTTTGCACAGAGCAATTTACTGTGGAATTTAACACTGACACAATCCCATGAAGTGTTTATTTATATCTCTGATAAATTTTATATCACCCAATAGCTGAAGCTCTCTGGGTGGCTGATAACAATTTAAAACATAAGTATCGCTGAGCACTTTGAGGCTTAGTGATACCATGCTTACCAAAATACTGACGCTGATCACACGACGACCGACCGAAGCAGACCGAAGACCCCGAAGACCGACCCACCCCGACCGAAGACCGACCCACCCCGACCGACCGACGCTACTTTGACAAAGCCCAAAGTTCAAAATGCTCTGTTTGCTATCCATTCAGCGCATCTTATCTCTGATTATTCTTTTCTGCTCTTTCAGATGATCATTTCACGGCTAGCCAGCTCAACAAATTGCTATTCGTCTCTTTCTAATGCCTCCCCCCCTCCGTGGTGTGACTCAAATTGTAATGAAGTCGCGTTTGATTACTCATTAGAGGATATGTATGCAAAACAACTCCCAGCTTTATTAAATTGTGGATCTGAGTGCCAGCCCCTAATCTAATAGTAAAGTTTTCCTAATACAGCTTAGAAGGCCCTTGGGCAAAGATGGTGGAAACTAGGTCTAAAAAAATATAAATAAATACATACATAATAAATACCACCTTCTCAAACCTGGACCGGTTCCAGCCTCTTTGCCTTGGGTTGCAAACTCCACCACAATAGCTTCCCCCAGGAACTTCTCTGAAATGAAATTCAGCCCTCAGGCCAAGAGAGGTTCACAGCCCTGCCTTGATGGAGTCTTCTCCAACCAGAAAGTTTCCAGATAAATTGGACCCCAGCTATCGTCATCCTCAACAAATCCCATCATGAAAGTTGAAGGTTAGGGCATCAGTGCCTGTGTTTTGTTGGAATTCCTTATAATCCACTGGTTGACATGTTAAAATAACTAGTTGATAAGCTGGTAACTGGTTAACATATTAAAGGAAGGGGGATGTTGAGGTTCTGTTTAAATTGCTTTGTGTCTCAGACAGGGTCAGATAATGGTGGCTCAGCAACAGAGGATGCCTCTGGACAAATTCTGGGGAACAGGACATCCAAAAGTCCAAGGATCAAGCTCTGCAGTCTCCAGGTGGTGCTGGAAAAGTGTCCTTCGGCTTATCTGGAACTTTGGGAGGCTGCCCTCAGCCTGCTGGTGACAGACTGCTCTATTTCTCCCTTGCATCTTCTGACTCAACAAGCAAAAAAGCTCCCGTTAAAATCCTGCTTTTAAATCTTGAACTGGTTAATCCCTGCAATGAACATCGTGGGCATTTCCCATATCCTTGCCATTCTGGGTCATCGGTTACTTAGCGGGAGCTCCGAGAAACAGAATGGGCTCACCGACGAAAGCTGATAACACGTCCAGCAAACCAAGAGCAAACCTGGCCAGAATTCCATGTTAGGGAGTGGCGCAGCATTTTGGATAATCACATAACTTTCAAATGTGTAATGTTTTAACAGCTTTTATGCCTCTTTCAATAGGTGGTCAGCAGGGACCTTTCCAAGAAAGTCTTCACAGCCATTTCAGGTCCATCAAGAAAAGCTGGTTGTCCAACTTCTCTCAGAAATGCTGGCCAATGCCTTCTGCTTACAAGGAGCAGAACTTTGGAAAGAAACACACACATTCTCTTTCTGGTTGCTGGAAACATTTCCAAGGAGCAAAAATGGACAGGGTGTACACTGGAAAGAGAGATGGCAAAAATTCTGCAGCCTATAAAATTCAAGCCAGGGGATAAACAATTCAGGGGCGTGCAATGTGGCATTCACTCAGAATTCAGGAACAAGGTGCTTCTGAGCATAAGCTCGGTCCAGGAATTCGTTTGCAGTGCCAAGGGACATGGTTCTTTCAAAAAGCTATGCAATCTTACATCATATGGAGACACGGAGGGAATGAGGGATCCTTTCAGAAGAGCTATTGTTAAAAAATGGAGTATCAAGGAACCTTGCCAATCTACTGCAAACCCCCTCGGAATCTTCTTTATGCCCAAGGAGAGCCAAATTTGCCACCCAGGGGAATAAATCCAACTAGTGCCTCCATCGTACTTCCTGCAATGCGGCACAACTTACTGCCAAGTCCTCTTACACTTGTTCTGCTGAAAGGATTGGAGTCTTGTTCCCCTACAGTTTATTCGGTTCTGCAGGAGAACATCCCAGCGGATGGATCGTGTCCCACGGCTCGGATCAGCTTCCCACTCTGGTGCCCTCCTCTGTGCCTCAGAATTCGGAATGGGAGGACCAGGAATACTCATGCTAGCTGAAATTCTCCCAGCTTTTCTTCAAACTCAGGTTGGTTCTCTCATGTTCTCATTTGCCATCTGTTTCTCAATTCATTCAAATGGGGAAAATGGTGCATTTCGCAAATGCTTGGGAATTTGCAAGGAGGTTTTGGAAAACACGCTGTCCTGTTTGCACTCAGGGTTGTGAATGGAGCAGGTTTGTGTGAATTGCAAAGTGAGACAAAATTATCCGACACCCCTACCCAGCAGATGCCCCCTGAGTGGATGCATGCCTAACCTTGACACGGAGTCATGGAGAGAGCAGGGATGTGGGAACCGGGACAAAGCCTTGCCTGGAAGAGGCCTGCAGAAGTGCAGACTCACACAGAAGTAAACTTAGTTCAAAAGCAGCTTGCAAGAAACTGCGATCAGGCCAAACTTGGCTGAGCTTCTGCCTCTGGACCACAGCTGAGCTGAACATTCTCCTGGTTCCACGGCAGGGTAAGCATGCCCACTGCATGTTGGTGCCCTGTTAAGGGAGCCACGAATCTGGCATGTGCAAGGCGATCTCAGAGGCATCCAAACTCCTGCCTGTGCAAGAGTTATACAAGGAGCTCCAGGCTCAGTCCTCCCCTTCCAGGATCTTCTTGATCTGGCTGGATTCTGCTCTTGGACTTGAGTATCCCAAAGGAGCATGCCTTTATTAATAAAGCAAACTCTTGAGCCACAGAGACGAGGCTATTGGCAGCTCCTGGCTTCACAGCATCCTAACCGTTTCAAACATGGCTAGCTGGGGCAGCTGAAATGAAGGTAATAGGATAACCCACAATTCAACAACAACCTACAAGTGTCATCAGACTGTCTGAACCCAGGCAAGGTCTGGTCTGCTGCACTGGGAGCATTTTGAATCCAAACCAAACTGCTTGCCTCCAGCCGGGGAGCAAAGCTTTCTCTTAGATTCCTCCCAACAGAGGAGGCGGCAGCAGCTTGCAGCCAGAAGCATCGATGCGCTGAACATAGTTATTAAGGGTGTGGGAGCACCAAAGGAACAGTCTTGTTCTTATTTTAAAATCTGCCTATCCCACCTTCCAGGAGAAGCTTCCAAGAGAGCCGACAATGGGTAACATCAACATTTTACATCCAGCTTTAAAATCTAAAATAGCTATGAAAACAACCACACAGGGCTACAGGCAAGGAACAACACACACAAGATCAATCCTCTGTTGAGAGCCGAGGAGATAAAATAGCTTTTGCTGGGCACCGAAAGGAGAACAAGGAGGAATGATCCGACGTGCCGAGCAGGGCAAGCGGGGCAGAGGAACAACCAGGTCTTTGGGAGGGGGGCAACTGCTTCACAGGCAGGTCTTTGGGAGTAGTGGGTGTCTCGTGTTTGCATGCAGCCTTCAAAGCCCCCTGGCTCCCCACCACAGACAGGAGACAGGGACTGTCCCTGATATCCCCCCTCCCCATCATATAATCCCCTCAACCAGCTCCTCGTAATTAATGCCAGTTACAGAGACGAGAAAGTTGGACGTGCTCTTCCAAAAGGGGACATGACTTCTGCCATGAAATTCAGCTGCTGCACTGAAACCCCCCGATGAAAACCCCACCATTCTGATGACTCCGGAAGCAGGCAACGGTGGTCAAACCAACAGAGAGAGTAAATATTTTAGGTCCCTTCCCCTAGATGGTTCGAGAAGGAAAGGCAAAGGTCCTTTGAAGGCATGCTTTGTGGCATGACCCGTTACGCCAGTGGCGAAGAGACCCATTCGGCGCTTCAGTGCCGACGAAGCCCCACTTGGGGACTTTTGAGCAACGCCATGGAGGCGACCTGACTTCTCAGCTGAGATTCCAGCGTCAGATGCGATGCTAAGCCCTGCTTTGGAGTCACGGGACAGCCCTGGGTCACCCTCCGACTGGCCCCCTCACCACCTCCTGCCCCTCTTCTTCCAGAGAGCAGGAGGTTTCGATGAACCACAGTTTAGCATTACTTCTGAGGCTTACACTGTGGTCCATTATAACTATGGTCCTCTGAAGAAGCCACCTCTGCAAAGCTGGTCTGCAGGCGGCTTGCTACCTGATCCCTTGCGCAGAACATGCCGCCAGGACCAACCCGGGAAGCTGGCATTACAAGGCCCCTTCCCCACCAGGGAGCTCTGCCTCCTCTCTTGGGCGAGCCGACCCGGAAATTCTTCCGCCTCTCCCCTGACAAGATCACAGGCCCTGCTCCTTTCCTACACCCGGTCTTGGCAGCACACTACCTGGCAGAATAGATGCAGGTTCCACACAAGGCCCTTCCTCCCAGCAGGTTCCAGGTAACATCCGCACGGCAAGGGAATCCGGGGGCCGGCTGGGTCCGTCAGCAAAGTGTCCTTCAGTCCTTCCTTGGCACCTCGGTCACCAAATGCTTCACGCTCACACACAGGGATGGTCTAATGATTGTCCTTCTCCTGTTGTGAATCTAAAAAGTAAAAAAGGGGAGTGTGATTACGCCCTCTCCAAAAACCTAATTTCTTTCACTTTTATTTGACTTTAATTGGGGTGGGGGGAGGAAGTGGAATGCAAAACATCCCACAGTCATTGAGAATGTATTCTAAGCAAACAAATCACTAACATTTTGGGTGTGTTTTCTTGAGTGGGTGTATTTCATCCATTAAATGGGAAACAGCTTGGGTTTTGCACATAAGCACTGATGTTGGGTTAAAAAAAAAGCCATTGTGGAGGCCAAAAAACCCAAAACAACCTCCCATTCCACACAAGACTGAAGAATTTTCTAGAATTGTTGCTGTTTCTAACCAGTTTCATGTGATCCGTGCAAAAGCTGGGCACCTGCTTTAGCACCGTTTAAGGGGATACAGAAGGTGAAATGCAAGTTACATCTTTACAGGAGGCTACTACATGCTTATAATGAAAGCATCTGTGAAAAATCAGAAGCCATAACCAGTCGAAAGACCAACTGTTCCCAAAGGCTGCTGTGCATCAGTTTTGGTGTTCACACAAGTGAAAACAGATGCGCATCTGTGCAAAACATGCAAGACATACAAGCCTGCGCATGTTTATTCCAGCGTATCTCTCTCGGTGTTCCACTGGGTTACCCCACCGCTCATTTGGTCGCTCTTCTCTTTACCTTTCCTTCTCTAGTTTCCAGAGCCAGCTTCTCTAGACCACACGCCAGCTGCCCCGATGTTCATGCACCCAGCACCACAAAACTCGGCGCATCCCTAGCCAGAATACCTAAATGGAGTTTGCATAAAGTTTCAGCAAGTACGGAGAAGATAACGCCAGGTCTTTTGTGTGCTGCCATCGGTCTGGAGTGGCCCGTATTCAGCTTCCGTCTACTCAAGCTTTACTAGGCAGTCCATGAAGAACGGAGACCACCGGGCAATCTAAACACGCTATGGTGCAAGATGTCTCTTATATGAATCTTCCCTTCCAAATTTTTGTAAGATCCCACACTGCAAGTTCCTGCACACTGAATAAAGTATGTAAACTTCAAGGCAGCCAAGATAACGAGTAACTGCTACTCATCCCTACCCTCTGAGTGATCCTGATAGGACTCACTAGGGCAGTTTCTGGGGAGTCCCTCCCCACCTCCAATACACCAAAGGACAACACAAATGGGAAATCTTTAGTCCTCCGAATTTATGCTATAAAAAGCTAGGATAGATCCAACAAGATCACTGCACAGAACAAAGTTTCGTTTGGCACTCTTCTCAAGGTGCGGAATTCCACATCCGTTTGGGTTCTAAAGACAGGGAAGGGAAGGAAGGATGGAAGGAAAGCCAAGTGTCCACTGAGAAGCAACTCCTAAGCACCCTCAGCCCCAAGTTATGCAGTGGGTATGCTGGGAAGGCATCCAATAGAAGGCGCTGTTATAACCCACCAGAGCCCACTGGTAGGAATGTCCCAAAGCAGGAGAAACGGAGATGGTGGGCACAGGACATCTCCAAGGACAGGACCAGCTTTGAATCAACTCAACCCATTAGCGGGAGGCGCAGTTGGAAGCTGGAGAAAGGGCTTGCCAAGCTTCGCAGGGAGTTAAATCTGGGGGCAGCACGATTTCAAGCTGATTTGCCCAACTATTCAACACAACAAGGAGAAAGGAACTGGCTGTTTTAAGGGGCCACGGATCATGGCCTTTTCACACAGGAGTCTCCAGGGTTCTTCCGTCATCTGAACAGTCGGCTGAGGGACGGCACTAAAAAAATCACGTAGAGAAAAGGACATGCCAAGATTCGGAAAGCAGGCATGACGTAATGCACACACAGGCTTTCACAATAAGCTTGGAATGCTTTGCTGGAGCCCTGTGCTGGCTGCAGCACCAAACCCATAACTCCTGAAAGGCCCGATGTGCATCCCGCTGGGAGCCCTTCCATGGCAGGGGCCAGAGCAGAGCCCAAGTGGGAGGACCGCCCCCCCGAGGGTTCCAGCTGATGGGCTGCCATCTCCGAAGGGCGGAAGGTCACACGCCACGGATGTGCGGCTGAGGGCAACACGTACGTTGAAACTACACATAAGTGAGGAGGAGGATTCGTGCCCATGTACATCTGTGCCCACCCCAGCGGAAACCATGGAAGCACCACACAGGTGTATTCCACTGGTGCATGGAGAGGCAACTTGCAGGACGCAGGGTCCCCGGGGCACGGTGAGAGCCCACGAGGCACAGAACCACCTCCTACTTTCTGGACTGTCCCTCAGCAGGCCGGGAGCTCCTCTGCACCCCAGATTTGGGATGGCTGATCTAAGAACACAGCTTGCTGGGGCACAGCTTGCTCTAAGATTGGATGTATCCGCGAAGCTACCTCCCTGCAAATATTTCAGGGCTGATTTAAGATGTGGGTCTCGAAAAGCCTTTTGCTGCCACAGGTAGGCCACAGGGCTGACGAAACTGAGGATGGCTCGGATATTTGGGAAGGGGTGTTGAGCCTCCATCCACCTGACGGCAAAACTCACCTGCTGAACTTAGCACAGTCCAACGCAAACAAGACAGGGCCAGAAGGACCATCCTGTTCTAGCTGAAAGCTCTTCCACTGCAGTAGTGGACCCTTCGGGAAAGGTATTTCTGATTTTTGGAATGGGAGGGAAGGGGCAAAAGCTGGGAAGCTGCTGGAAATAGGGAAGGGCACTTGGCCCTCTGAGGAATGCCAGGGGGCTAGACAGAGACCCCAAGTGGGTCTGGGATTCACTCCCCTGCGTGGCCACATGCCTTCAGATGCCAGGCACTGAATTAGGTTGCTCTGTTTTGAATAAAGAGAAAGCATCACTAAAATAAGGTAAACCTGGCAGATGCTAGTTCTGGTCCAAATTATCTGGAAAGCACCGGATCAGAGGAGGCTGCCCTGGAGAGGCGAACGGATAACCCGCACCGTGTAGCGCAGAACTCATAAAATGACAGCACTGCTTGCTCAGGAGCACAAAAGGGGGGGGCGGGGGGGCTGCAAACCCGTGCTGGAGCGGAGCGATCCCGCGAGAGTCTGGCTTTTCCAGGAAGCAGGCAACCCGCTCTCAGCACTCGGAATTGATCGAGATGAGCTCATTGAGAATTCTCGCCGATAAAAGTCCTCCTTTCCAAAAGCCTCTCTTGCAGCCCTTGCCATAAACCTGAACTCGAAAACTGCATTCTGTTTAGCTCATGTGTGGCAGCGATGGCCACCAGCGCCGGGGCTGCAGGGATCCATACGAAAGGACAGAAACTGGGCCGACAGCGCAGCTCACGCCAAGGAACGGGCACCCCGAAAGGTCACGGGGGACGACCTGGAATACCCAGGCTTTGCCGCCTCACACGCAGCCTGAAAAATACTGCCAAGTCCCCCCAAGGAGTGTTTGCTTTTTACTTTGACGTAAAGAAAAATTAAGGCATCCAAAAGACGAGCACAACTTTCCGATAGCTCAGATCTTAAACAGCAACTGAGTTCACTTGGAAAGAGACAAAGGAAAGCTCTGGAGCGGATTTTGGCTGGTGTTGTGCAAGGCTAGGGAAGTATAACTGATAGGGGGGGGGGGGGGGGGGACGGCCTAAAGGGGAGCTCAGTAGCTCATAGGAGAATCAAAATATAATTCAGACAACATATGATTAGGCTGCACATGTCATGAGGGGATCCATATATGCCCAGCCGCCCCTTGAGATCGGCGGGGGAGGCCCTTCTCCGGGAACCCTCCGTGAAAGAAATTAGGAGGGTGGGTACTCGGAGGAGGGCTTTCTCTGCGGTGGCGCCCAATCTATGCAATGCGCTCCCCAGAGAGGTCCGTCTGGCGCCGTCGTTATTTGTTTTTCGGCGCCAGGCGAAGACCTTTTTATTCAAGCGGCATTTTAACTGTTAATATTACTGGATTTTATCTGGCCAGGGCGGCTTATTTTATACTGTATTGTTGTATTTTTAATTTAATATTTATATTTTTAATTTATATTATAATTTTAACTTAGTGGTGTAAGCCGCCCCGAGGCTTCGGCGAATGGGGCGGCATAAAAATGTTTAAATAAATAAATAAATAAATAAATAAATGTGCCAGCGAAAGTCGAAGGCAAAGGAGGAAAGGAAGACCGAATGTGAGATGGAGGGACTCCGTTAGCGAAGCCACAGCTGTGGGCTTGGAAGAGCTGAGCATCTGGAGGGCCTCCATTCACAGGGCTGCTGTAAGCTGGAGACCGCCTGTGGATGCGCAACTCGGGGGTCCCTGCAGGCTGGCATGGAAGGGCCCCAACAGCAGCACAGAGGTGCTCCCGGGCAAGCGTGGCCATTGCTGCGGCAATCACGCTGATCCACCGGCACTCAGCAGATCCAGGTTCTAAGGTTCATGGTGGTCACTGGGTGACTTCAGGCCAGCTGCTCCGCCTGGCCTGCCTTACACGGCTGTGGTGAGGAGGCGGCTTCTGTAAGCCACCTGCGGCTCCTTGCAAGAAAAGGACAAGGCGTACACATAATCCATGCATCGCTTGCCGGGTCAGCTAAGAAGGACTTCGAAAGAGGCTGCACAGACCGAAGGCACTTCAGTTTCCGAGTCTGTCCAGGAAGGAAAGAAATCGCCACCAGGGAAAGCACTTTTGCTGTGGATCTCCCACTCTGACCATATCAGCATCTTTAAACGTGGGGCATAAAGCTTGGCAGACTGGCTGCATGCACCCAACCCACGGACGACGGAGGACCCGAGTTTGACCCACGTGGACAGTCCACGGAAGGCTGCTTGGCCATGCCGAATCCTGCATCTCTTCCACTGGGCTGTGTTCCAGGACAGCCCAGAGGCCGGTCTTTTAAAAAATAAGCTTCATTCTCCAAGCCATGCTGGCGAGCAAGACATCTCATCATAGGAGCATAACCTGGCAGTGAAGTTTACACGAGCAGAGACCATGCAGCTGTCTCTGCCCATTGCTGCTAACCCCATGGATTCGGAGTGGGCCAGGTGCCAGGATAACCTGGACCAAAGCTCACTTCCTCCACCGGAACCGACCCATGGGGGCGCCAT